GACTTTTAATCTCTCCATTTACCTGTTAATTTCTCCACTAGTTTTATTGGCAGACTTTCTCATCATGACAGTGATGTTTGGAGAAGGGAGTGGCTGACCTTTTAAAACCAATTTAAAATTATCTGTGCTTCTATATAATGATGTAGTAAGAGTATTATTTTTAATTGGTTTTAGCATTAGAGGAAAGTGAGACTTTAGAATTTATCCAACAGAAGTTCAGGTCATCTCATCCTGTGCATAATAGATAATTCTCAGAGAACATGTCTGGTTGTGGACAGAATGGAGACTTCATTTGGGTGGCACAGAGGGGCCAGACTCAGGGTTAGCCCTCCAGGTTCTTAGATCTAGGAATGGAGGCTCTAAAACTTAGCAACAATAGTACTGACATGAAAGTGGGAAGAAATTACTGGCTCCAAGATTTCAGAGGACACAGTAACTTCAAACTTGGATATAAACTTCAGTGGGGAAAAGGCCATTCACTGCCCCTTTCACACGTGTGTGTCTAAGGTAGGTGTGGGATGCCACTTGGACAGATACAAAGCCTTCCCTTTAATAGCTTAAAGCCTACTACTGTGCATCATGGGCCTGTAGTTTGGGTCCAGCTCTTTCCCAGACAGTTTCCAAGACAGTTGAGGAAGGAGTGAAAAGTGTGTTTAGACACCATCCAAGCGGCCAGGTCATGTGACACACACGCATGATGGGAGCCCTTCTAAGTTGCCTCCGCAGTTAATATAGCTCTCTTATCCCAATCTGGCCAGAGAAGGGCCTGCCTGGCTATATGCTCACCATATTGATGGATTACTTCTAGGTCCTGGGAGTCTCATTAGCCTCATATTTATCTTCTTCTGCTAGTACCAGATAATGGATGAAATTTAATCAGCTGCCAAAGGACTCCTCAGCAGGAGAATTTGAGAAACCTTGTCCGCTGCACTCAGCACTAGAACAAGAACAAGGATCCAGAACGATCCTTTGTGGCGAGACTAAATGTATCACCTACTATATGACTTACGATTTATTTTTAAACCATTCGCGGTCCCATTGGCTCCCCTTTTAATAGTTTTGCTAGAGTCTGTTTATTATTACAGATGTTACTTTTAAATGAGATCATCAGGCTTTCCTTTACTTTCCAAAGACAGTGTTTGCCTTTTTCTTGCGGGATTGGCAGGGCTGCTTGGAGAACAGTGCAAATATGAGATCAAGGTTCAGGCTTCAGACCCCAGGAGGCAAGGAGAAAAGAAGCCTGTCGTGTCTGCACACGCTCCCATCAGCCAGACGCCGCCCAAGAGCATGCTCACTCCATCCTGGGGGCAACCTTGACAAGGGCAATTTGTCTGGCCTAGGTGAGGAGACAGGCATTGTGGTCGCAGACTGGCTTGAGTCGTGTGCCCTTCTTGTTCAAAGTGAAACGTCAGGCATGTCACAGAAACTCTCCGAGCCTGTTTCCTCATATGCCTTAGAGATAATTTTCACTCTTTGGATTTTGAGGGGCTGTGCTTTGGCTCCTTGGTATGATGTGGAGGTGACAGGGGAAATGAAAGACCTCTGATTTCTAAAAGCTCAAGTGTTTAGAAATGCCTTGAATCCCACATGGCTTTGGGGGCACTGGTTTTTGCAAATAGACTTTCATTGGTACATAGCCACACTGTTCCTATGACTGCCCTCTTCCTACAATAGCAGGAGTGAGTACTTTTAACTAGTATGGTCTGAAAAGCCCGAAATTTTACTCTCTGTCCCTCAACAGAAGTTCAACACCGCTATGCCAGGCTGTGCAAAGATTCTATGGTGGAAGCTAATCATTCAGACCGACCAGGAAGAGTGGGGATGTGGGAATTCTAAAGCTTCCCTGAGTGTCTGGGGTTCTGATCCCATTCAAATACCTGAAGGCTTACTGCGTGTTAAAAGATCGGTTTGTTAAGGTTGGAATTAAATGGCATGAGTCTAACAGCACAACATTTGTCTTGGATGATACCTAGTCTGCGTTTGATAGGATAGATCTCCATTTCAGATTCCACTTAGCTCCAGCCCCAGGAGGCCTTGGGTATGTGTTCCTGGAGGAGGGTGGGTTGACCAGCAGCACTATGTGACATTTTTAAGGCACAGTCACATGTTGTCTTATAATTTTCTCTGAAAGTTAATTTCTGTGTAAAATAAGTTTACTGGTCATCTTTGCTTTGTGTTTTAAGAGCATGTCCAGTGACAGGTGGAACCAACTCCAAAGCTGTATATGAAACAGGCATTTAACATTGATCTTGTATTTTAATTGCTGTCACGCTTGTTAACTTTCGGAAAGCAATCCAAATATTTGCTGTGGCTCATGATAGTCCTCGGAGAACACATTGCTAACGGCAAAAGGACAGTGCAATATAAATAAAACCCAAGCACGGTGAACCTCACTCAGAAAGAGGCAAGAGCCAATTAGATTTACACTCTATGTTCCAGTCAGTTCAGGGTAACTACAAATGATGTATGCTTATATACTTTGTGCTAAAATGAGTTGGAGAGCAGACTTTGGCTTCTGGCTTCCTGTCTTGCTAAGTCAGCATTTCCCAAGGTAATGCTCCTCTGGAAAGTTCTCATGCTCCATTCTTCATGTATCTGAATCTTGGGAGGCCGTTACGTGCATATGCTCCCTGCTGAAAATGTACTACCATGCATGCAGTACACCTAGCATAATGCCCGGCAGGTAGCAGGTACACACCTGACTCTTATCCCCAACACCATCTCAACAACTGGTAGGTCCTTTCTGTCTTTGAATGTCACTCTGTACCTCATCCAAGCTGTTCTCCCTCAGCTAGTCTTTTGTAAGCATGAATTAGATCTTTTTCATCTCTTGCCTTCCATCCCTCCAAGCAATTCCTTGCCTGTGATTGGCTAACAATGAGTGGCGAAGAGTTGATCAAAGCCAAGTGGGTGTCAGGGTGATAGATACAACACAGTCAGCTGGAGGCAGCAGCGTTTTATAGAGTTAAAACAAGGGCTTTCTGTGTTAGATAGGAATTCGGTGCAGTCAGGGTACTGGAGTGCCCTGGCAGGCAGCCGTGAGACTGAATGCTAAAGAGGCAAAACAGGTCAGCATCTTGCCGTCTTCATGAAGGCAAGGGAAAGCCCACGTAAAGGAAGGGATGCCTGCATGTGGTTAGACTGCCCAGGTACCATTGCCCCCACTGTATCCCACCAGTGCTCGCATCCCCATTTCAGAACTTGACGTTAAGTATGGAATCAAAGCATAATATTATAATTAGTCTACCCTTTTGCATTTGGTATAGAACTATTGGTTGAATAATATATTAAAGTCAGAAGAGCTATATTTGAGAAGTCTTACCACTATTGTCAGAATCATATCTCCACCAGAGAAACAAATCCTGATTTGGCATTCAGAGCCGTGTGCATGCTGGATCATATACTCCCCAGACACCCCTTGTTTCTGCCTCTGCTCAGACTCCTCCCTCCACTGACTTGCTTTGTGCTCCAGGCTATCAGTAGAACTTGGATTTTGTTTATTTTTATATATTTTTTGGTGCATTAAGCAGTGATCTGCATAGAATAAATGCTTAGTGAAGTGCTGAGTTGGTATGAAAGAGCAAAAGGGCATAATGGCTGAAAGAAGGGAGGGCATTCTGATTATGGAAAAAAAGTAAAAACCATTTGAGACACTATGTGTGGTGGGTGGTAACTCCTGCAATCAGAAGGTGGAGGCAGGAGGGTTGTGAGTTTGAGACCAGCTTGGACTACATAGTGAATTTGAAGACTCCACAGACCATATAGTAAGATCTTATTATAAAATAAAATAAAATAAAATAAAGAATTTGACAGCTAGGGAGATGGGTCATTGGGTAATGCAATTGCTGTGCGAGCATAAGGACCTGAGTCAGAATCTCTAGAGCCCACATAAAGCCAAGCATGGCAACCTGCATCTGTAGTCCCAGTGTTCCTATGGCAAGATGAGAGGCGGAAAAGCTGAAAGGTCTCAGGTCAGCTAACCTGGCATTACCCAGTACTGAACAGCAAAAAAGACCCTGTCTCAAAACGAGGTAGAAGGCGAAGACTCATACCCAAGCTTATTCTCTGAGCTCCATACAAACACCATGGCTTGCATGCAGAGAGAGAGAGAGAGAGAGAGAGAGAGAGAGAGAGAGAGAGAGAAGAGAGAATGAATTTAAAAATAGCACAAAAAGAATTCAGGAGATTGTCAGGAGTCCATACAAGTGCTTAGCAGTGGGGCTGAGGGAATGGCAGGAGGAAATCCATGACAGGGACACAGTTCCACAGGAAGTCAGACAGTGCAGCATCATGTGAAGAACACAGGAATCAAAACACTCAGGTCTCAGCCCCAATCGGGTCACTTACTGACAGGTTCTTCGACCATTTTTCTCAAGTCCAGAGCAAGGATAATACACTAACATTCTAGGGTTACTTTATGAATGAAACCTTATAAAATAAAAGCAAGCCTCTATTCCAGCCCTGGGGACATAGGAACCATTTTATCATTCTCAAAGTAACAGATTCCCTAAATGGTGTGGTTCTGGCCCTTTGAATACCATCTGTGCTGTTTCCCTTACTGTGAAGTGAGACAAGTGAAGGCAAGGTCAGAGTCACAGGTTCAGTCCCTTTGGAGACAAGGACTATTAGCATCACTCTTTCCATGGCTGGAGAATGAACCTCAAGCCAGCTAGTGTATGCTAGCCCAACAGGGCCCAGCCTCATGAGAGGAAAGATTAGTGCAAATGAATCATTTGTGCTGGAAAAATAATCCAGGACATATAATGTCACACTACCATGTCAAGAATAATAGTTTCTCTTCAGTGAAACATTATGTTTTCTATTCACAGGATGCTTTTTAAGGGGCAGAAAGAAAATATTTCGTAGGAAATTTACAACCTCCTATCTAGTGGGATTTCTTTATACTACAAGCAGTTTATGCAAAACAGATGCCTGAGGAGTTCCATGCCTGCATGCATCTGTGGGCTCAGTGGTGATATTTCATTTTCTTTCTCTTCCAGTTCTTGCAGACAACCTGAAATCCAACCCTGGAATCAAGTGGCAGTATTTCAGCTCAGAAGAAGGAATTTTCACTGTGTTTCCAGCACACAAGTTCCGGTGTAAAGGCAGCTATGAGCATCGCAGTCGGTATGCTGGCTTCCTACACTTCTCACTTGTTGGTGAGAGCAGTCCACATGGCAGGGTGGGCTGTGGCTCAGAGTAGAGGGCTTGCCTAATGTGGGCAAGGCCCGGTTCCATCGCCAGCACCATGTTCCACACAGCTCTGCCTCAGAGTCCAGGTTCATGAACTGGCTCACTCTGAAATGACTTCACCATTTGATATATGTGGATGTGTCCATGCTAGGACAGGGCAGATGGTAAAGCTCAGAACTTTTCAACAACTATCTAACAAGCCAAACAGAGAGAGAGGAAGGAAATTAAATTGCTTGTCACACTCAAGAGTATTCTGAGCATCAGACATCTTTGTTGAGAAACAGATGACGGGACAGCTCCTCTACAGCACAGCCCTAGAGGCTAAATATATTGTGGTAGAGTTTGTGATTCTCAACTTCCCTTTCTAGGATAATAGGCTTGATTTTGTACTTTTGAAATTTATGTGCCAACTTTAACCACTACAAGTTGTAAGGTTATTCACAAAGCATTGAATTAAAGATCACAGAAATGACTTGGTTGTACCATGTCTCCAGAGGGAGAAGAGTGGTGAGATCATTTGTAAAACAAGACTCATCAATTTACAGAACCCCTAGGCAAAGATGCCCTCCTTTGAGCCCCTAGCAGGTCCCATTTCAGTATCAGGTGTTCGATGCCAGAAAAGGACATAAAGATGCCCACTCCAGTCTTTGAACTCTAGACAATCACTTTAGCTTCCCTTCATCTTTCTTTTAACTTGTATTTAGATTTTTTTGCCCAAGGGTAGGGGGAATCTTCCTGTGCTTTTTGGGAGGGAGGGAGAGAGGGAGGGAGGGAAGGGAGAGAGGGAAGGAGGGAGGGAAGGAAGGAGGGAGGGGGAGGAAGGAAGGGAGGAAGGAAGGAAGGAAGGGGAGAGAGAGGGAGGGAGGGAAGGAAGGAGGGAGGGGGGGAAGAAAGAGAGGGAAGGAAGGAGGGAGGGAGGGAAGGAAGACAGGGAAGGAAGAGAGAGGGAGGGAGGGAAGGAAGAGAGAGGGAAGGAAGGAGGGAGGGAGGGAAGGAAGAGAGAGAGGGAAAGAGGGAGGGAGGGAGGAAGTGAGGGAGGGAGGGAGGGAAGGAGGGAGGAGAAAACTGTTAGTGTTTGTGGTTTTCTTTCATTCTCTCCCTAAATACTCGATACAATTGCATATTATGGAGACTAGATCAGAAGTCATGACTTTGGGTTCTAGTTGGCTCATCACAGGAGACCAAAGGCTGATATGAGCCATCCCACACTCTAAGAAGACAGATCGGTGATGCAGTGTTTCTAATAAGGCACATATGTTGGAAGGAGGGCAGGGCCTGGTCAAGCCAGCACTCGCCTGCAAGCTGCATCCCAAGTCTGCCTGAAATGAACTTAAGCCTCACCACTTGCCTCAGTGGCCCCCATCTTCCCTCCGTAGCAGTTGCCACTCCCACCTCTTAACTTGCCCTGTTTCCCTCTGCCTTTGTGAGTCTCCTACCGCTCTTGGAATTGTCCAGTGTGTTTCAGAGCACAGCATCACGTACGCACCAGTGATACCAGTCATGCTTTGAGGACCACCTTCCAGTACATAGCATATGGTACTTTGTACATTCTGCTAAAGCTGTTTTGCTTTTCTTTTGTGTGCTTTCAATTAGAACGAAGGAAGCATGTCATTTTTCTCCTACCTTGGAGAACAGAAAAAATAAAAATTCACCATTTGACCTAGTGTTGTGTTGGGCAGGCCAGGTGTTCCCCACTTCTGTTCCCTGCTCATTCTTCTAGGGTCTTTTTATCTCATTTCCTTACCGGCTCAGTGGCACCAACTGGTAAAAATGTACTGCTGCTGTTTTAATGCAAGGCTTTTGGCTGGAGAACAATTAGTATAAATTTGGCTAGATTTTAAGGTTCCTTGCCTACATTTCTTAATTTGTGCCCAGGCTTTTGTGATTCACTGGCAGCTCACATTTCACAGAATAGTCTAGTGTTTTAGAGGTGTCAATAAAGGAGGGAATTCTCTTGAGGTCGATTTGCTTTTTTAAACTCCCCTAATTTGTTCCAGCTTTAAAACTGAATAGAGACCTCATTAAACCCCTTCTCACAAACCCTCCTGCGCCACACATAGGCAGAAAGCTGCTTTGATCAGAGGCATTTCTCCTTTGTGGCTCCCCCACTCCCCCTTTTTCTGAATGTTGGCAAACAAAAACCTGGCAAGAGGAGCAGACTATCACAGGCTTGAACAAACTTTGATGGCGTGCATGGTTTGGGATGCTCAGATAAGGGGCCTGTGTGAATTGCTGTGGCACAGAGAGGAAAGAGGCCAGAAAGGGGTAGGAGGAGTGTATGTATAGGAAGAGAGAGGCTAACCTGCTGTTCAGAGCTGCCAAACACATGCCCATGTCCTGGGCTGACTCACTGCTAGTAAAGCTCCTGTCTATGAATCTGTAAAACAGAAGTCAGCACAGGCAGGTGGCCCATGTTTGCCCTCTTGGCTAAGTCTCTGCAGGCCAAGGGGTCACCTGTTCACTTTTCCCATGGCAGAATGAGTAGGAGGGTAGTGTGGTCATGCAGAAGTAAGCTGTGACTTTCAAATACATGGACCAAATCAGCCTCTCAAAGGGCATCCTCTCACCTTTAAAGGCAGAATTCACCTGTTCTTTTCAACACACCTGTTTTTTGTTTTTTTTCTCCTTCCATTTTGAGTTCTCTCAGCCTGTGTCATCCCCAGAAAAAGGCATGCACTCCAATGAGTTCGCGTATCTCTAGTGTTCACAGCTGTACTCAGTTAAAGCCCTTTCCTTCCTCTAGACCCATCTATGTCTCTACCGTCCGACCGCAGTCCAAGCACATAGTTGTGATCCTGGACCATGGGGCCTCGGTCACCGACACCCAGCTCCAGATTGCCAAGGATGCGGCTCAGGTTATCCTTAGTGCCATTGACGAACATGATAAGGTAACCACTACCCCGTGACCTCCTTGAATGTTTTAAAATTGAATTTGTTTAGTGATATACAGTCATGCCTCACAGTAATATCTTAGTAAAAAATGGACTAAGTTAATACCAGTGGTTCCATAAGATTATAACATGGCCTGAGTGTCATGTAGGTCTGTGAAAGTGGAGTATATACTTAGAGCCTAGGCACAATGTAACAAAATGACTGATGTTCCCCCAAGGTCAAGTCCACCTAACAATGCATTTCTTCCTTCCCTTCCTCCTCCCTTCTTCCTGTGCCTCCCTCCCTCCCTCCCCCCTTCCTTCCTTCCTTCCTTCCTTCTCTCTCTCTCTCTCTCTCTCTCTCTCTCTTTCTTTCTTTCTTTCTCTCATTTTTTATTTCTTTCAAGATAGGATCTCACTGTATAGCTCTGTCTGGCCTGGAACTCACTATGTAGACCAAGCTGGCCTGGAACTCACAGAGAGCCGCCAGCCTCTGCCTCCCAAATGCTGGAATTAAAGGTGTACGCCATCACACTCAAATGCAAACACTGCATTTCTTAGAGCACATCTTCATTGCTAAAAGCAGAGTGTGCCTGCGTATATGTATTCATACATGTATATAAACATATAAGATAAATCTATCTATAGATGTACATGTATACACATATATTTTATTTTCTAGAGACAAAATCTTGCAATGTGCCCTAGCCTGGCCTTGAACTGCTCATCCTTTGTTTATCTCATGAGTGCTGGGATTATAGGTGTGCATTGCTATGTCTGGCCTGCATAGTTTCTCAATACAATTTTAAAATGACTTTGAGAAAAAAGAGTACTTTAGCCTTTGTTCTAGAATTTGGGAAGGCAACCACCAGTCTGGAAATTTCCAATATAACCAGCACCACCGTGAAGCTGAATCTCACACTTGCTTTAAGGCTCCTGTCCATGTTTCTGGTTAGTTAGGCTGTTGATTTCAGAAGTTATGCTGGGGGTGGGGGAAGGGGGCCTTTGGATGCTGTGTCTTGCCTCAAGCCCCTGGAGAAGGAAAGGAAAAGGAAGGCTACTAGAGGTTTGCTAAGCTCTAGTGACATCCCTCTCCCTTGATGTATGTATGTGCAGCCAGTGACTATTACAGTGGATAGTCCTGCTTCTCCAAAGACACCTCTCAGCAAACCAGTTGCTGAAAACAGACATACCATGCCCCTACCCTCCCCCCTAGACAGTAGTTTAACAACCAAGGTGGGTAGTTTTTGTCAAGATTTTCCTCTGTATAAATTGAGCTTTTGTTGTTGTTGTTGTTGTTTTTAAACATATGTGAATATTATTGCTACTTCCTCCCTTTTAGAGCAGAAGCCAAACTCTCTAGTTCTCCCCTTTACAGATTCTTTTCAAATTTGGTAGGTTGATGACTACCTACAGGCTTTTTTTTTTTTTTTGGTCTTTTTGAGACAGGGTCTCCCTGTAGCCCCAGCTGCCCTGGAACTCACTGTGTAGACCAGGCTGGCCTCGAACTCAGGCATTTTTTTTGTTTTGTTTTTTTAACATTTTATTTATTTTAATTTTTTTATGTGTATGCATGTATTGCCTGCATGTAGGTAAGTGCACCCATGTCATGCAATGCCCGTGGAGGACAGAAGAGGCTGTCGGATCGCCTGGAACTGGAGTTACAGACAGTTGTTAGCTGCCATGTGGGTGCTGGGATTCGAACCTGGGTCTTCTGCAGGAACAGTCAGTGTTCATAACCGCTGAGCCATCTCTCCAGCCCCAGGCATTTATTTTTTAAATCGGAACCTGTTCCATGAGCTTTCTCTCTAGTTAATCACTCCTGTTACCTGAACACTCAAGCTGCTTACTGTGGCTAAGGCACGGGGACCATTGAGCCAAGGAGTTTGGGGTCAACTGGGCAACACAGGAGCACCCTGCCTCAAAAAAACAAACAAACCAAAAAAAATCATTCAAATGGTAGAATAACAAATTGCTGGGATTTCTTTCTTTCTTCCTTACTATTTTTTCTCCTCCAGATTTCTGTGTTGACTGTGGCTGACACCGTCAGGACTTGCTCACTAGACCAGTGCTATAAGACCTTCCTGTCTCCAGCCACCAGTGAGACAAAAAGGAAGATGTCCACCTTTGTTGGCAGTATCAAGCCCTCAGACAGTCCCACCCAGCATGCAGTAGGGTTTCACAGGGCGTTTCAGCTGATTCGAAGCACCAGCAATAACACACGTTTCCAAGCAAGTAAGTGCATCACACTGAGAGATGGCTGTAGGAATATGTCATAAACTGAACTCACAACTGTGTTTAGAAGGAATTTCTACAAATTGGTTTGAGACCAAATTGTCATGTACCATCTTCATAGTCATTCGGTTCCGGAATCTTATTAGATGTTCTTGTCTTTTTCAATCAAAGGTGGTCAGTCTGTGGGACTCCGGGCTCCCAGAGTCTCCTCTTCCTGCCCGTTTATTAAGAACACATCCTCACTTATTTCCCAAGGGAATAGCCACATCCTCTTTAATGTTAATTGTTGGCTTGGCCTCCCCCTGGGCTTGGACTAGTTCCCTGCTGGTGCGCATGTGCACAGGAGGGGCGGGTGGGAATTCTTGCCTTGATCTTTCTTCTAACCAGCTGTCATTTAGATGAGCACACCCCTTCTCCTGTACAAAGGCACTCTAATTTAATTTTCATGTATTACAGAACAATCTGGAATGAGGATACATGCTAAAGGAAAGGAAAGGGCAGTTGAAATGGGACTCCACTTTGAAACTTCTGAAGACTTTCTCATCTCCCCTTTTATATTTGAAAATCTGTGGCCATTTTTCTTTTCTTGAAAACATTAATGGATCCTGGGGGGGGGTTGTGTGTGTTTTTTTTCTTTTCTTTTTCCTTAAGATAGGGTCTCTCTATTTAGTCCAGCCTGGCCTTCAGCTCTGCATCATCCTGCCTCTGCCACCTGAAGACTGGCATTACAGACATGTACCCCATGCCCAGCTTAATATATATCCTATTGAGAAATTTTAAAATTATTTTCTTTTTAAAAAAAATAATTTATTGAGAATTTCATACATGCATATAAGGCGTTTTGATCAAATCCATGCCCACTCCCTCCCCTCCAACTCCTCTGATATCTCCCCATCACTTTTAAAAATTATTTTCAAGCTGCTTCATCTATCTACATTTAAAGACAAAGACATCACTGATAAATGCAAAGCATTGTTCCTCACACTCTGGCCAGAAGCTACCATAGCTATCATAACTACTGATAGTAAATGGCATGTTGATTTTATCTTTCTTGTAAAAAAATTAATATAAAGTCATTAGTTTAAGAAAACAATTTTGGGGGGCTTTTCCTTTTTTCCTTCTTTGAGACAGCTTAGCCTAGCCTCAAACTTGAGATGCAGCTACCACCACACCCAATTTTAAAACAATTTATGATCTCACAGTTTCTCAGGGTCACTACAGATTAACTGGGTTCTCTGTTTAGAGCCTGGCAAGGCTGAAACTCCATGGAACTGGGGCTGTTGGCTCAACTGAGGTTCCTCATCCTATTCTGAGTGCACTGTTTATTGGATTCCATTTGAGACTCTGAAACTCATTTCACTTTGCCTTTTCAAGACTAGTAAACAAACATCTCTTCTGCTTCCTTATATAGGGAAGCTTGGACCCTCTTGTAAGGGGCTTATCTAATTAATCAGAGCCAAATTCCCTTTTTCATTTAATCAGATTACTCTCCAGTATAATTAAATTAAAGTCAACTTACCAGAAACCTTAGTTACATCTGCAAGGTTCATCTCTCTCTCTGCCAGATAGTAGCCCAATTGCAGAAGTGACATCTCATCATCCTTGCCATATTTATCATTGTTCAAAGTAAGTTATCATTAGGCCCAAGCAGACAGGGTGATGTATGGCTATATGATCCTTTGGGTCATCTTAGAATCTTGCCTACCGATGAGTGAGCACCAGCCACCCACAGGCCAATATTATAGGCTTACTGTTCAGGTGCCCACAGTTCAGTGAGGCCAGTGAACAGCGCTACCTCATGAGTATTCCAGGCAAATTGTCAAGTTTGTTAGTGTCCCTTACTAGAAGTGTTCTTTCTACTTGACTCAGTTATTTATCCATCACTAGAGTTTCAGTCTAGATTGCTATCTTGTTCAAATAATGGAGAGAAATTTTGGATTAGCATTTGCAAATCCAGATGCCTATAGCGACTAACAGCTGGAGCTAATGAAGGAAGGTCCTTGTAGATGTGGTAAAGGTAAAGGAACATGCTTCACCAGGGTAGGCAGTGCTATCATGGCTGTATTTTCTGATTCAAGAGAAGCCAGAAATCTGGATTTTCAGTGTAAATTCCCTTGATTTTCAAATGTTAAGGTTCCTCATTCTTTAAAACTTTAACTCAAGACCTTATTAAACCTCTTCTCACAGACCTTCTTGCACTGCTCATTGACAGGCAGGAAGGTCACAGAAGACATTTCTCCTTGGGGTTTTTTGTTTTGTTTTTATATTTTATTTCTTGTGTTGGCAAACAGAAACAGAACAAGAAGACTAGCTGTCAAAGAGTTGGACAGTGTTTAATAACACAGGTTCTAAGATACTTAGAGAAGTGGGTTTTGTTTTTTGTTTTTTTGGTTTTTTTTAGGTCAAATAAGATAGTGTGCACTCACCATCCCCTATTACAACTAGTATTGTAGTTCAAAGGCAAAAGAACCCAACTTAGTTTGTATAGGAAAATAGTTGAAGAATGTCCTCTATCCACCTCATGAAAATAAACTTTGCGGTATCTCAAACAGCATAGTCTAATGGTTAAATATATGGGGCTTGGATTACCAGAGCTCTACAAGTTTTTCTAACCTTGTTTACTTGAGCAGATTAGTTGAGCTCTCCATAAGTGGCCTCATTTGTAAAGTGGGATTGACAGTAAGACCCAGTATTTCATCATGACTCTTCAACAGGGTTAGCTGTCATTGCTGTGGTAGTCTATCCCCTGTAAGACCTCTAACTCTAGCTAAACTAAAGCAGTCTTGCCCCCAGCCCAAAGATGACCATGAACCACTACTCTCCTGAGCATTTTCAGTGAGGAGTGTGTATAATCCTTCTGCATACACTACATACACACTCTGCATGTCATTACCTCTGTTCCCTCTGGAGACATTATTCCGCATGTGCTGTGTATCTGGTGCTGCTTTAGTTGCCATGGGAACGAGGCTTTCAAATGAGTAAGATCTGTCCTTTAGTATTATTGTAAGGATTACCTGTTGATGAAAAGGAAGCATCTGCCCACATTAGAAGCCATGTAAACAGAAGCCAAATGTCATCAGTCTTTGTAGCTTTACATTAATTTATTTTATGCCAACCAGAAAATCTAAAACTTCTACCCAAAATGGGTTGTTTTTTGTTTTTCTCAGTCTCTTGGTAGATCCATAACTGATACTAATGACCTTGTAGATTATTTCTTCTGAGCTTGTTTGGGCGTGGTTGTTTGGAGGATAATTTCATAGTAGGAGGAAGGTGGTTAAGGGTGTGGATCTAATTACCAGGACAGGGTTCAAACTTCAATTGCTTTTCCTGATACTGATTCCAAGACATGCTGGTGAGGTACTTAAAAGAGAGAGTTCCCAAGTGGAGTCTGTCACGTTACACTTTCTGCCAGCTAGGTGCTATGTCTTGCTTTGCCCCCAATTCTTACAATTACCCACCCCTAACATTACCAGTGTTTTATTCTTGTCAGTGAATGACTCAGGACAGAATGTTCTGATGGGTAAAAAGCCTAATCTGACCAAACTTAATATGATTGGTAACTGCCAATAGAAAAACAGCTCAGTTTTGCTTGAGGATAGGTTGATAGTATGGTTGAGTCTGTGCAGAGCAAGTGAGGGTTTTACAGAATGTGTGTCTTAATGTGGGGTAGAAGCAAACTGTGCCCAGCTGCTAAATTAGGAGCCTAGGGACTCAAGTCAGTCATGGCCCCTGCCCTAGAACTAGCTCTATTTGGACAGTGTAAGCCATTCAGCATCACTAGGCTAAGTTAAAACCCAAGGGCTTCAGTCTAGGTGTGCCCAGGAATTTATCACACATGGTACCCTTGCCAAGAAGAGATGGTCTGCCTCACACTGGCTTCCCTCCAGTAGGAAGTGGAACTGTTTAGATCTGTGGTTTGTCCGACATTTTTTTTAACTTGAAGTTTAAATAATATACTTAGGAGCCTAGTAAAATAATTTACAGAAATTTCATTACAGTACTGGAAAAATATTGATATCTAGTGTTAATATAGGAAGGTAAGAACTTTTTATTTTCAATCAGCCTTTACTTCCTAATTTCCAATGACTGAATAATGACATTTACATTTGCAGTTAATATTCAAGCATCCTAAGTGGTTTAATTGACTTTACTAGTAGTAAGCAGAAGATATATCTATTTTTATTCAAATTGTATTAAACTCAGTTCAACTGTCTATAGCATCAACCCCACATGAATTATTAAATTCCGCATAGTAATGAATGCTGCAAAGTCTAAAGTGGAAATGTACAAACTACAAGAGCATCGTGTGTGTCTCCGTTAGGATAATTTTAAGGGTAATTGTATTTGTTATTTATTGCTTTGTAACAAATTACCTCAACACTTAGTGACTTAAAACAATAGATATTAATCATCGCTAGTTTCTGTACGTCAGAGTCTGGGTATAGCATACTGGGTGCCTCTGGCTCACAGTGTCTCATGACGGTATAGTCAGTCAGACTGTTGCTGTCATTTCAGAGGCCAGCCAGCTGGAGGAGGATCCATTTGCTAAGTCACTCACCTTGTTGGCAGAGTCCTTAGGTGCGTAGGCCCCATTGCTTGCCTCCCTGTAGGGGCAGCACACACACGCCAGCTGTCTTCGCTCAGAAGGAGACAGCATCTACAACAGAAGCCAGTATCCTTGTAATGTAACCTTGGCCCTGATATCCCGCCACCTCTGATGTATTCTACACCATAGACCTGTCACTAAACCTTGCCCAACCTCAACTTACTAAGGGCACAGATGTTAGCAGGTAGGTTATGACGTGACCAACCAGAAGGCTGCCTCCCATGGTTACTATCAAGCAGCCTCTGTGAAATGACAGCAGCAAGACCTACAGACACAAGGGTGTGTACAGTATTTCCCTGTAAAAGGATAAGCTCTATAGGAGGTCCTAAAATTTCTATGGACTCAAAGACCTTCCAATTCGAAAGAAATATAGAAGCCCAGCTCTTTTCTATACCATTCTTTTGTTATCCACAGTGATAGGAAGTTCATCACTTTTATTTTTATTCCCCCCTAAGCTTTCCCATTTGTCTTTCCTCTCTAGCATTTTTCATCTCCCTTTCTGAAAGAGCATTTTGTAAACCATTGCACTTCAGCCCATTTAACCACTAGATCCCTACATATATAATAGACAAACACAGTACTCCATGTCCATGAATATCAGGAAAACAACCCTTATGAAGGGCAGCTGTATCAAGCAGCACATACCAGTCCAGCATGACTAGGAACACCGAGACAGAGGCATTTTTTTTACATACTACAAATGGAATTTATTAGGTTGGCTTATAAAATAGGGACTAGGTAGTCCAACAATGGCTATCTGCACTCTGTGAAGACCGAGAGCCCAGTAGTTTCTCAGTCCACAAAACTGGATGCCTCAACAGTTCCAATCTGGTACTGAAAGCCTGGAGGATTCCTAGAGAATTGCTATTCAGCCCACATTAGAGTCTGAATAAGCCGGAGTCCAATGTCAGCAAAGAATTGCAGCAGTTGCAGAGATAGATGCACTCAGTAGTAAAAAGCAACAGCAGGCAACTGATTGTTTCTCTCTCTCTCTCTCTCTCTCTCTCTCTCTCTCTCTCTCTCTGTGTGTGTGTGGTATATGTAGAGGTTGATATCAGGAAGTCTTCATCAGTCACTTCTCTGCCTTGTTTTGAGACAGGTTCTCTCATTGAGCCTAGGGGCTCCCTTTTTTGGCTAGACTAGCTGGTCAGTAAATTACCACAGTTCACTTGTCTGCCCACTAGCGCTGGGGTTACAGGTGTATATTTCCATACCTGGCTTTTAAGAGGGTGCTGGGAATCCACATTCAGGTCCTCATGCTTATGTATCAAGCACTTAACCCATTGAACCATCTCCTAGTCCCTCTCATTGAGCCTAGGGGCTCCCTTTTTTGGCTAGACTAGCTGGTCAGTAAATTACCACAGTTCACTTGTCTGCCCACTAGCGCTGGGGTTACAGGTGTATATTTCCATACCTGGCTTTTAAGAGGGTGCTGGGAATCCACATTCAGGTCCTCATGCTTATGTATCAAGCACTTAACCCATTGAACCATCTCCTAGTCCCTGTGGGAAATAGAGGCATGCTACATTATATTTATTTTTATTTATTTTTATGCGTATGAGTATTTTGCCTGCACACAATGTTCCTGGAGTCCAGAAGAGGGCTTATCCCCTAGAACTGGAGTCCTTTGTTAGCTCTTAATGTATGTGCTGGGAACTGAACCTGGGTCTCCTGCAAGAGCAGAGGGTGGTTTTAGTCTTTTTTTTCCTAACATATATGTTTTATCGAACTTTTGTGCATTTTATGCAATACATCTTCATCCTATTTAGACCCCCTCTCCCGTCTTCACCTCCCCCGTAGTTTCCCCCACCGGATTTCTGAAATCACCGGTCTTCTTCAGACGAATAGAAGGATGCACATACACTTGTGTATTGAGGCTTCTTTTCTTTTACCGTCTTGTACCATCACACCTTTGCTCATATTCCAGTTAACCACCCAGTCCTCCCAGCAACCTTGTGAAGTTGGTACTGGTGTCTGTCCCTTTTCTAGACAAGGGAATGTACCTATGGAGAGGCTGAAGCCTTTATCTGCAGAACCCCAACACACTAAGCAAAGAGCAGCGACTTTTAGCATGTGTCCATGATTTTGCTGTACCACTGCACTGATGAGCTTTCAGAATCAAAATGTACCTGGCAGTAGTTAAGGCCCTTGAAAGTCATCTTGCATGCCTGCAGGGCCCCTGAAGAACCTCCTTCTTAAATCCAAGTCCTCCCAAAAGTGTGGCTCATGGTAATGGGCCTGTGTCACTGAGGGAAGGATAAACTACATTCTGAATCCTCCTTTCGAAGCTGAAGAGATTTCTCCTTTCAGGCTGGCTTAAATGGACACAGTGTGGGTGCCTAAAGGAAATCGCCTTCTTTCATCTGGTAAATATGTCTGCACTGGATAAGTGAGGCCTTGCCGTCCAGCAAGGGCAGGATGGAAGGGAAGCGAAGGCAGGAAGATGAAAGCTGGCCAGCCATCACATGGGAAGGCACTGGGCCCGGGGGCCAGCCAGGTCCTCTGGGTGGGGAAGTCCAGGAGAAACGAAAAGGACACTGAGCAGCAGCCTCTAACCAGAATCCGAATGTAACCTCAGTTTGTGTGTTTTGTTTAGATACAGACATGGTCATCATTTACCTGTCAGCTGGCATCACTTCAAAGGACTCTTCAGAGGAAGATAAAAAGGCAACTCTTCGTGTCATCAATGAAGAAAATAGCTTTCTGAACAACTCTGTGATGATTCTTACCTATGCCCTCATGAACGGTAGGCAGTGTTTCGAGATTTTTCTTTCAGATGAAAGTTCCCTCTAAGTAGGTCCTGCTTAAGAAAAAGAAAAGAGGCTCGTGACAGTGTGCTTTGATAAAAGGCTGTCATGTCAGATAGGAACCAGCAGCTTTTTCTGTACCCAATACTGTGATTCCAGGCAAGGTGGGATGACCCTAACCCTTCCTTGCCTTGACTGCACAGCTGACTGCTGGTTCCTAACCCATCTCTACTTCTGTGGTCCTGTGGAGTTTTGTGCCTCTTCCATTTTTCAGTTCTCCTTCATATTCTAGGTTATCTAAGGCAGGGAGGTTATTACTGACCCTGCAGGTTGTGGGAAGCCATAACACTGGCCTAGATTCTTTTCAGTCCCAATCGTTCCAGTGTCCCATTTCCCTGCAGAACCTCTACCTGAGGTCTCCCCAGCCGCTTTCTCCATCAGCTTCCTCAGCTGTCGAATACAGATAACAAGGATCTGCCCTGAAGGCTTGTCGTGAGGGTTCCACTTTGCGTACAGCAAACCTCTTGGAACTACCTGAAGCTTGCCAGTTCTCATTAAAATCCTCATTTTACTGTTAACTGTTATTAGAAGGACTTAGTAAATTGGCAAATTCAAAGAAATACCTCTTTTTCCTCCCTTTGCTACCCACCCTGTCCTCTAATCTGCGGACAGCCCTGTTTTCTGCCTCTGTGTGGTGTGGTGCCACCCTACCTATTCATACATGGGTTTTCCTTCAGGGCATCTTCCCCCTTGGGGCAAGAAGCTCAGTGCTCTGGTACTGTCTTCCCTTGTGGCAGAGCGACCTGGGTTCCATCCTGTAGCCTAGCCCACCTCCAAGCTCTGGTTCCCACCACCCCCACTCCCAAGTTTCCTCATAGAATAGTATCGTTTAGGGACAGTGATCATCAGTCTTGATATGCCAAGGGTTATTTAGGGAGTGCTCACAGAACACAAATTCCCAAGCATTGTCCTCTTAGGACGGGCCAGGAATCTGTTTCTCCTGGGATCACTCTGGATCCTATAGTATCTTAGAGACTACCCCTGAAGGAACCTAGGCCATCATCAGCCTCCACATTTGCAGGAAGCGTTTAATAGTAGTAGGCTGGTGGCAAGTTTCCTCCTATTTTTAGGCTCAAGTATCTCTCTCTCTCTCTCTCTCTCTCTCTCTCTCTCTCTCTCCCCCTCCTTTCCCTTCCCTCCCTCCCCTTCTGTCTTTCTTTCTCCTCCCTCCCTCCCTTCCTTTCTTCCTTCCTTCCTTCCTTTCTTCTAAAAGAGCATCTCACACTATCTAGCCCAGGCTGGATGACCTCAAGCTTGAGGTCCTGTCTCAGCCTCCTGAGTGCTGAGATTGCAGGTATGTACCCACCATACCCAGCTTCAGACCTCTCTTTGATCTCTGAGATGAAAATAACCAAATCTAGGGCTATCATAAAAAGTAAAAACAGTATATGTGTTTAAAGTTAACTTACAAGAGCTGGGCAGGCAGTTCAGTGGTTAAGAGTGCTTGTTGCTCTTACCGAAGACCAGAGTTCAGTTCCCAGCACCCACGTTGGGTAGTTCCCAAGTACCTCTCTGGACACCCCTATACATGTATGGAAGACCAGAGTTCAGTTCCCAGCACCCACGTTGGGTAGTTCCCAAGTACCTGTAACTACAATTCCAGGGGATCTGACCCCCTCTTCTGACCTCTCTGGACACCCCTATACATGTATGTGGACACCCCTATACATGTACGTAAACACCCACACTCATACACATAAAGTCCTTAGCATAGAACCTGGTGCCTCACAGATGCTCAGGAGGGACTGGAGGATGGTGGGGTTTCCTGTCACACAGCACAGCTGGAATGAAAGGTACTGTTGTAGCCAGCATCTTCTGGAGCTGTCTCCTGCTATACTGCAGGGGGTGCTCACGAATGTCCCTGCTCTCCTGTCCCTTCACTTTTGTAGAAGGGTGAGCTTCACAAATGTGAACCATCTCTTTGTCTTCATTGTGTCTGAGCACTTAGCACAGCAACAGTCTAGTTAGGGTAGGTGAGAACAGCTGCTTTTTGCCTGAACATTTACCCTTCGGGGTCTTCTGGTTATCTAATGCTAATTCTGCCATAGGTTAACTTCTTTCTCTCAGGAGTGGGAGAGAGGAAGGAAAGAAAGTCTCCAGAGCATCTGCACTGGCTACCCACGTGCATAAGCTTCCCTGTCTTCAGGAAGCCTACCACCAGGGAGGAAAGCGGGTGAATTAAATGCAGGAGAGGAGGGAGGAGGCCAACAGGAACTGATTGCTTCTTATGTGTGGCAGACACTGAGTGAAACTTCCTTGATGTCACTTATCCAGTCAGCAGTCCTTCTGTCAGTCTCAGGTACCTTTGCAGCGCCGCTGACAATTCCACACTTTTCAAACCTCTAGTTGCTGCCATTCCCCCACCCTTGGCTCTTCACCTTCTCCCTTTGATCGTGCCAGACTGCCACCTCTCTCTGACTGATGTTCACTAGAACAGGCACCCTCCCTCACTGTATCCTTCTGAAGCTCAATCAGGAAAGCAGGGCCACTGTGAGAATTTTGAAGGACCTTACTATGTGTGTGTAACCATTTTGGTCTTCATGGTCTTCCCTTGGCTTGATTTCAGACGGAGTAAGTGATTTGAAAGAGCTGGATTTTCTGAGGGACTTGGATGAGTCAGAACACATTGCTGGAGAAACTGGAGAAGGAAAAATGCAGAAGGGAGAGTTGACAGCTCAGAGACACTGTAGTCATCTGACATGCAGGGAAATGTGAAAGCTAGGAACTTTGAAGACAACTTGGAAGTTGTGGGGCAGAAGTCTTTGGAAGGCTGTTGACTTCCCATGACTGCTGGCCCTTGTGTGTTCTCAGTGAAATAACTAAACAGCACGCCCAGGCTTGCTGCTGATATGCAAAGCCAACAGGTTGGAAAGGAAGCTCAGTGCAGACCAGAAACTAGTAGGGCAAACTGGAACACTCTGTGCCTGTGTCTGTTGCTCACCATTTCTCAGTTCACCTCCCAAAGTATACAGCACTTGATTGTTGGTATCTGTAATTTGCAAGCATATACAAAGAGGATTCTGGGAATTGTAGTTTGTAGCATGCCCATGTTCACCAACCAAGCATATTTATCAGCCTGCCATTCCATTGATCCTGCTGCCACCACTATAATGTTTCATGATGGAGGGGACCAAAAAAATACCCAACATTGATAATGATTGATATCCCACACTGTTCTCCTTTGCCTGACCAACATTCCAGTCTGTCACCTGTTACATTTTGAGAGAGCCATATGTGACAAAGAGAGGAAACACACTTTATCGCCCAGTGTGCCTCCTTTTATTGTTTGTCCTCTGTGAGCTTCTCATGGACATAGGGTCCAAAACCAGCCATGTCTTTTCTTTTGTGTTACCCTTCACTCTAAAGCAGACCCATGATTCTCTTGTCTTGGTTTTAAGCCAGGCAAAAGGAAAAGTAATCCAATTCGCAAATATTTGTCCCACATATTCCTTTTTCTTTTTCTTTCTTTTTTCCTTTAGCACTGCAAGAGTAGAGTGAAATTCAAGTTCATCTGAATACAATGTGCTGAGAAAGAAATCATGTGTGTTAGGTTTTGCTACTCTTTGGCATTATAGAAATGGACTTCTGATGATAGAAATATATGAACTCTCTACACTGGAGTAATAAAGGCATATATGATAGGTGAACCATAAAAGCTTCAGTTTCTTTTTAACAATGAGCAGCTCTCAGCTTGCCATTGAAATCTTCGAAAATTTTTCAAGGCAAACTCTTTTTAAAACACAATGGTAGAATCTCAGTAGTGTCTGAAAGTGCTTGAATTTGTTTATAATGATACCCATATGTGATCAGTTACTAATCCTTTTGACGATATGCCAACAATAGCAAACTAAAAAAAGATTTATTAAATTTATTTTTGTGCTATAGATTACAGATGTTGTAGAACAATACATCCCACTATGCCTAAATCTTTTACAAAGTTTTCAAAGCCCTGTAAACATAAAAACTATACATTAAATAAATCAAATTTAGTATTATCCTAACAATATCAAGCATGAAGACATTTGTAATTGGAATGAGCTTGTAGAACAGGGTTTAGGAGCATTGCTAAATGCAGTCCATTACTGTTTCATTTCATTTCGTGAGATTTTGGCAAGTAAGGTTTTATAGGCAAAGAAGCAAGGAATGAAACGGTAAAGTTCTTTAAAACTCTCGAATTCATCGACTTTAAATTAAATGCAGATTTGTTAACTATTAATTTTGCTTTCAGATAATTAAATACAGCAAAGAATCTGAGTCTTCTAGTTAAACATTTTAGGAAGCACACATCCTTTTATTCCCCCTGCTTTTTCATCATTGCCTTTTGAAGAGTCCTCTTGCCCTCCTGACTGTTTGAGGAAATTCCATGTCTCGGGCTTTGGCCTACAGCAGGAGCTGGTGCTGTCCTTTGGCTGTGTGATTGCTACAAAGACACTGGGTACTGTAAGGCCTCATCTGTGTCCATAGTGGGTCTAAATTGTAAGGTGCTTTTCCCTTGTGTTTGATTATAGATGGGGTGACTGGTTTGAAGGAGTTGGCTTTCCTTAGGGATCTGGCTGAACAGAACTCTGCAAAGTATGGCATCCCAGACCGGACATCCTTGCCTGTGATTAAGGGCAGCATGATGGTGCTGAATCAGCTGAGCAACTTGGAGACCACGGTCGGCAGGTTCTACACTAACCTTCCCAACCGGATGATTGATGAGGCTGTCTTCAGCCTTCCCTTTTCTGATGAGATGGGAGATGGTGAGTTTGAAGAAAACTTTCTGCTAGAGGAAGAGGACAGGAAGGAACAGACAGAAATGGGCACCCCTTGGTCTGTATCCCACAGATACATAGTCCCTACCACCTCACCTACAGCACTGTGGGCTAGAGCGTAAACCCAGTGCTATTTCTTCCTCCTTGCTTCGTTCTCAGAAGATGGAATGATGTATCTTCTGATGGAGCTTCAAGAGAAATCTCCATTGATCAAGTGGAACCAAAGGGCAGCTCTGTACTGCAAGTGGTAAACAAAGTTCAGAAATGCTTGAAATCTAGCCCCAGAGGCAGGCACTATGGTACAGAGAAATAGATTAAAATTTGGCATCAAGTGGGTTTTCAGGAGCCAGCAAGATGGTTCAGCAGATAAAGGTGCTTACCACCAAGCTCAAGGACCTGAATTTGATCCTTGGGACCTACATGGTAGAAAAAGAGACCCAAATCCTACAAGTTGTCCTCAGACCTCCACACATGTACTGACCCAGAGGCAGGCACTATGGTACAGAGAAATAGATTAAAATTTGGCATCAAGTGGGTTTTCAGGAGCCAGCAAGATGGTTCAGCAGATAAAGGTGCTTACCACCAAGCTCAAGGACCTGAATTTGATCCTTGGGACCTACATGGTAGAAAAAGAGACCCAAATCCTACAAGTTGTCCTCAGACCTCCACACATGTACTGAGAGTGTATGAGAGAGAGAGAGAAGAGAGAGAGAGAGAGAGAGAGAGAGAGAGAGAGAGAGAGAAAGAAAATGAAAAAAGAAAGATAGATTCTCAGATCCCACAATTCTTAAGTTCTTGTCCTCAGTGATATATTTAATCTCATTAATTCTCCACTTGGTCATCTGACAAAAAATAAAATAAATGTATGAAGATTTTTAGGATTCATTCATTCATACACACACACACACACACACACACACACACACACACACACATCAGTGATTGGCATATCACCTGATTCTATTACTCGAATTTTGAATGTGCTCTTACCTTTGCTATTGTGGCTGTTACCATTACCACCATGCTGACACCTCAAGTTACCCATCACAGGATGTTGGGTAAAGGCTTCAGTCTCTTGACCTAGAAAATGGGAATTGTTTCCCTCAAGGTAATTATGAAAAGTAATTACAGCAATACATATAGTGTCTAGACAAATGCCTGGCATACAGTAGATTCTCAAGAAGATATGGAATCTTTTTTTAATCCTCATTTTCTTACTCAGCCTTTCCCTACCTTCCTGATGAAGAAGGTTAAAGAAGCAACTAATTATTTACCAGACAGCATCACAAACTGAGATCTTGTTTTTACGTTCCCCTAACTGGGAACTCTGACAGTGACAGATAGAGACATTCAAAGAAAACTCACATATAAAAAGTAGCAAGGGTAACAAGAATGCTTCCTACAAACAGGCAACAGTGAGTGTTAGGTTTTCATGTGTATAGGGAGAAGATACTCACTTATGAGTGCCATGTGTATGACAAGGTCAAAATCAGGTATCTTCCTCGGTCACTCTCCACCTCATTTTTTTGAAGCAGAGACTCTCACTAAATCTAGAGCTCACCAACTTCTCTAGACTGGCTGGCCAGCAAGCCCCCAGGATCTGTGTCTATAGCACTGAGGTGACAGGCATATTCCACCATACCCATCTTTTTTAGATGGATGCTGGGGATCCAAATTCAGATCCTCCTGCTTACATGAGAAGGAACTTACCATCTGAGCCATCTCCCCAGTTCAGCATATTCTTTTTATAAAGAACAAACACAACAGTTGCTATTATACCTCAGCGTGGTTTTTTTTTTTAATTTTTATGTGCATGAGTGTTTTGCCTGCATGTATGTAAGTGCACCTGTATGCGGTGTCCACAAAGGCCAAAAGAGAGTGCCAAATCTCCTGGAACTGGAGTTATGGACAGTTGTTAGCCACCATGTGAATGCTGGGAATTGAACCCTGGTCCTCTGCAAGAGCAGCCAGTGCTCTTAACCCCTGAGCCATCTCTCTAACCCTACATCTCATTATTTTTATCCTTTATCATTCTGGCAGGGTCCACAGATGTATATAGACTAGAAACTGCTGCCTTTCAGTTAGCTTCTCCTCATAGTGACAGGGTCAGCCTTAAATACGTGTGTCTTCTTTTATGTGTTAGTGGCAGCCAAGTGCTGATGAGGAACACACACATCCACCTCACCAAGATTTTGTCTGATAAGACAGGTCAACAAATCCTGTTAATACTGTGTGAGCAGAACAACAATAGATGTAGAAACACAATCCTGTAGATACGTAGGTGAATAGGTGAATTTGATTACCGGTACCCCATCAGATAGGACAGGGCCCTTCCTAAAATTTACACCTTACATGAAAACTTTGTGTCACCCATTTGCTGATGGTACCCAGATTTTAGTCTTTAGGTCTTATTTAGGAATGCTGTACAATAGATTTCAGTCCCTGCTTTTCAGATCTAGTGAATTTCCCTCCTAGAATGGATCAGTCATGTTTTCATTTCCTAAAATTATTGGGTAACATATCCTCTGACTCTGTGACATGAGAACTTTGAGTTTAGGGAAACCAGTGTTTATGCAGCTCTAATTTAAAAGTGCCATAGATTAAAACAGCAGTTACTGAACATATGTTTGTTTGTGTGTGTGTGTGTGTGTGTGTGGTATATGTATGTGTATGTACTGAACATGTACTTTTACAAAACTTACATGTATGCTTGAGGTTCAGGTAAAAGGTGTTTGAGGATTTTGTCAGTATGAATATCACTTAACATAAATTATTTGCCACATTGGAATCAAGAGTCTTCTGTTTAGGGGCTAGAGATATGACTTAGTAAGGTACTTGCCACATAAACATGAGGACCTGAGTTCGGATCCCAAACACTCTGTAAAAAGTGAGGTGTGCGAGAGCACATTGGTAACCCCAGTGCTGGGAGAGCAGTGCAGGTGGATCCCCAGGGCTGGCAGGCTAGGCAGCTTCGCCCAGTCAGTGAGCTACAGGTTCAGTGAGAGAGCTTGTCTTAATTGAGCAATTGAGAAAGATACCTCAAAGTGACCTCTGGCCTCCATGTACATGTTCACAATCGTACATTTACATGCACAGACAGGTACACACATGCATGCACACAAACACACACACACCTCACACAAAAATGTATTGATTAATAGTTACTTTAATAAAGAGCCTTCTGTCTAAGGTGGTAATGAAAGGTTACGTTTGAGGTTTGTTTTTAAGACTATTCTTTACATATCCAGAAGAGTCTAGAATTTGAATGATCATACATCTCAGTCATGGAGTATTGCTGTTGTATTTTACTAGTCTGTGAAAATGACTTTAGTCTTATACAGAACCCTGGGGAAATGTGGCCTGCTTTGGGACCCCGTGTTGACCCTCATACTGCTTCTGCCACATACAACCCGTTCCCCCAAAGAGCCCTGAGCACAAACCTGCAAAATGCATGATTGAAACCTTAAATATTTGTTATTTTCTAATGTTTTCAAGCAGATAGTGTGAAACATTCTGATTGTGAATAGCATAGAGAATGCTTTTCAGATTAGAAGAGACCCCACATTGTATCAGTTTTCACAGACTTTCTGGATTGTGTCCACCTCTTCCTGCTAGGGGACGCATTTAATTGGTGTTTGCAATCACAGCAGCTCAACCTACCTAGAGTATTGTCATAGCTGGCAATTCTCTATTTGGAAATCTGTTCTTTGTAGACATTTTTTCAGAGTGTCCAAAACCTCTTCCCGGATGCTCTGGAAGGGTTTCCGATGTCCCCTAAGCATGTACGTGCCACCAGAAAGTACAAGGAGAGGAGTACCTCATCTTTGTGTCTCAGTCCAACCTAGAACCTCAGGTTATAGCATTGTTAGGGCCCATAGAGGCTGCCTTGTCTCGGCTTCAGGGAGAGATGTGTTCATCAAGGTGACACAACTTTCCTAGCCCAGCAGTGGAAGCAGAAGGAGAGCCCAGTGCCCAGTACCCAGCTGGATTCTCAGAGCCACATCTTTCCGGCTTGCCACCCTCTCCCCTGTACATTTTCGTCCTGTGTATCTTTCCATTTCCTTAATTTCTTATTTCTTCATATAATCTATGAGATAATTATGGTTTTTATATTTCAAAAAGATTGCTTTTTTAAGTATGAAAGATTAGGATCTTGAGACTGTGTGGTTGACAAAACTTAAAACATTTGCTATCTGGCATTCATATACCAGTGTCAGAACCCCTAGCCTATGTGACTAGAAAGTGCATTCCTGTGGGAACTTTTTTTTTACTTATTTATTTTTATTTTATGAGTGTTTTGCCTGCATGTATGTAAGTGCACCTGTGTCGTGCAATGTCCATGGAGGCTAGAAGAAGGCGTCAGATCCCCTGGAACTAGAGTTACAGATGGTTGTTAGCTGCCATGTGGGGGTGCTGGGAATCAAATTCTGGGTCCTCTGCAAGAGCAGCCAGTGCTCTTAACCACTGAGCCATCCAGCCCCTCCTGTGGAAATTTCATTTTCCTTTAGCTATTCAAAATTCAATGTGATCAGATATCTAAGTTTTTCTCCTCTGTCTTCAGTTTTTGAAAAGGTACATTAATGAGCTGCAATGACTATTCCAAATTCCTTTATCCATAATCTCTTTTGATCTAGCATTCCCTAGCAATTAGTAAAGCAGTTCACACTGTGTCCTGTGAGCATCAGGGAGTGATGCCCAGTGTCATGTGCATAGTATAACAAGAGTACGACTGAACCAGAACTGAGGTTTTGGGTTTCTCAGCCTGTTCTTTGAAGTTAGGCTGTAGCTCCCTCCGCGGCAGATCTATTTGGCACTGCCAATGTTTTATCCTGATCCCAAGTATCACGGCTTAGATGAGAAAATAGTAAGAAAGCACACAGATTACCCCCAACATTGACCACAATATCTGGTCTACCAATGATCTCTCTTTCTTTTTTCTCCCTTTATCTCACTCACCATGCTGTCTGAAAAGGTAGTGGTTAGGTCCAGGATCTCACAGGGAATTCATCCAAGTGGAGCTCAGACTGCTGGTATTGGCCTTGGTGACTCCTAGAGCACATCTCCAGTCTCTGTCCAGAGCTTTCGTTGCTATTCCTTGATTCTGTTTTTAACCCACAGGTCTGATAATGACTGTGAGTAAACCCTGTTACTTCGGAAACCTTCTCCTGGGAATTGTAGGTGTGGATGTGAACCTGGCTTACATTCTTGAAGACGTGACGTATTACCAAGACTCTTTGGCTTCCTATACTTTTCTCATAGATGACAAAGGTAACATGTTAATCATAGGAAAGAATGTCCTCTTTTGCAACTTAAAGAAAATGGTCTCTGGATATTCTGATACTAATGATCATGGAATGGGATGAAGATTGTATTCAAAGAAAAGTCATGTTACTGGGTCCAGTCATTTGTAGTGGAGTGCTCAAAGATGGCAGAGTGAATCCACATACCACACCTTGTCCTATGCTGAGTTGTGAGGTATCTAGGTTTTAGTAACATAGAAAATTGGATTTGAGGGCAAATAACACATAGAATGGGATCCTTTTGTTTTTCTGTTAGTATTCTTTAGATTTACTGGCAGGAAGGTTTATGTAGTTTAGAGCATTTAATAAAATGAAAACCAGGTAAACAATTCCACTAGAATATCCTGTTAGACAGACTTTCCAGAATTTAAGAGCTCTTTAGACACTTCAGTTTTATATGAGCACATGTAAATCAGGTTGGGTTTTTATTGGACTGGTAAGGTACATATGGAGAGGCTGAGCACTGAGCAGACATCCCAGACTGTTCACAGTTCAGACCAGTGGTGGACACTTTTATTAGAACCAATACTTCCATCACAATTCTTATGACATGTATTTTTGTTCTCTGATTTCAGGATACACACTTATGCATCCATCTCTTACCAGGCCATATTTACTATCAGAGCCTCCACTTCATACTGATATTATACATTATGAAAATATCCCCAAATTTGAATTGGTTCGACAAAATATCCTAAGGTAAGGAAGAGGTGACGGTTGTAGAGTTCCGTGTTTTTTTTCTGAGTATGGGACTCATTGAGGTCAGATGTGAATGTTTGCTGTAGGGTATAACGTAAGTACATAAGTTATTTCATTGTTATTAAAAGTTTTCTGAGTCTTTTTTTTTCATAACAGTAATAGCCAAAGGCTGGGAGGTGGCCCAACACGTAAAGGTGCTTGATGACTCAAGTTTGATCCCTGGAATCCATGCAAAGGTAGAGGGACAGAATTGACCCCGCAATGTTGCCCTCTGACCTACACATGTGTACCACGGTGGCACATGCCCCCTGCCCCCACACATACACGTAGTGTACACACACAGTAATTATTTATTTATGTACTTATTTATTTTGATTTTTTTGAGACAGTGTTATACTATATAGCTCTACTGGCCTGGAACTCACTATATAGACCATCCCAGAGAGACTGACCTCAGTCTTTCAGAGATCCACCTGCCTCTGCCTCCAGAGTACTGGCATTAAAGGTGTATACCACCACTCCCAAATTAATTTTTTTTTTTTGAACAGGGTCTCACTGTGTAGCTCTGGCAGGCCTGGATCTTGCTATATAGACCAGGCTGGCCCTGAACTCACAGAGCTCTTCCTGCCTCTACCTCCTGAGCGCTGAGATTAAAGGTGTGCACTTCCATGCCCATCTTTAAAAACTTTTTTTAAAAGGAGGGTAGCCAAGATCTTATTTACTTCATATAACTTAATAGAAAAATTGTCTCAAAATTATTTGAGGGGTAATTTCCTGGCAGTCAAATTCTGTGTTCACATTGACTTAAAATTTAAAATAAGCTATAAGTTATCTCATTTTTTTAAAGTACTCTGGTTAGACCAAACTGGAATATATTGGTAAAATAAAGGTTAAGTTGAGGACCAGGAAATAGCTTGGCAATGTAGTATTCATTCCAAGTTGACAGCACAGTTTTATACAGCATTTTCTCTTAAAATAAAAACAGATTGGATGTTTTCCAACTGTGATATGTTATTTTGGAAGAAGGTAACCTATAGAGAAATGAGTCTTTGTGCTCATTGGTTGAAAATTAATAACGGAGTGATTTGAGACAAGTTAGTCTCTGGAAAGAATTAGCGTTGGGAGGCAGAGACAGAGACAAAGGAATGTTTTTAATGCAGAGTTGACATGATGCTCTTTCAAAATTGAAAATCTCACCTCATGTCTTTCAAAAGTGTTGAGTTTCATCACTATTCAGAAGCAGGAGGTGGCCACTGGCTCGCAGCTTCTTCCTTGCCTTTAATTAAATGCCTAATTTTCTCTTTTGCCTGAAGTATTTAATTCTGTTTTCCACACAGCCTCCCTCTAGGCAGCCAGATTATCGCAGTTCCTGTGAACTCATCTCTGTCTTGGCACATAAACAAGCTGAGGGAGACTGGAAAGGAAGCCTACAATGTCAGCTATGCCTGGAAGATGGTGAGTGGGAGGAAGGCGTTTGGGTTTGATGGGCCACAGAGTAGGCCCATGTACTCTTCCTGCAGGAGCTCTGGAGGACTTGGGTCAGATGATGTGACTGACCAGTTTTAAAGTGATTAGAAAAAGAAGACATTCCACAGATGTTTTATATTTTTTTCCTTCCTTGTTTATAAAGCCAGTAATTGTTCATGACAAATAGGTTAAGCCATATAAAAGAATATAAAGAAAAAAGTAGAATCTCATCTTCCTGCTTTTGACCTCCGATTTCCCTTCAGTAACCACTTCAGTCAATTCCCAGAAATTTTTTTCCTGCACAAACGAGTCTGTGTGTGTACACATGCATGAGTTCCTTTAGTAGCCGATAGACCAGATTTCTTTAACTGTTTTTAAAAATTACATTTCCTTTTTCAGAGGGAGGGAGGACACTCATGCCACAGCACGCCTGTTGGAAGCCAGAGGACAACTTGCCAGAATTAGTTCTCTGCTCCCACCGTGCGGGTGGGATAGGTTGTCGGGCATAGTAGAAAATGCTTTTTCTGGTTCCGGCCTCTCCTTCCCACCCACCCCCTCATGGTTTTCTTGTTTTTGTTTTTTGTTGTACTGGTTGTTGTTTCATCATTTAAATTCAGGTTGTGGAAGTTAGGTGTTTAAAAAGAGATAAAAGTATAAATGCCCTCTGGCATGCTTCAGGGATACAGGCCTTTAGAATTTGGCATGCTCATTTGCAACACAAACAGATTGACAGTTTAGCTATAACTTGGGTACCCACTGCTGCTTTCTTACCAGCCTCATTCAGACACTAGGCCTTGGAGAATCATAGGGAAACAGAAGCCAACATGCTCTGTTTCTGTCCTGTCCTTTCCCAACATAGCAACGCAATGTTATTGTGGGACCCTAAATGCTCTAACCAAAAGAAGAATGGCAACTGGCCAAAGAAGAGTGGATGTTCATTTTTATCTCCCAATGTTAATTACTGAACTTAAACTGCAGTCATGCTTACTATTGCTCTGGTTGGATGGATCTGATGCTCAATCTATTATGCATTTATTCCTTTAAGAACTTACTAGACATTTAGTACATATCACAAGGGTAAAGAAGAGCAATACTGGGCCTGGAGGGATAGCTCAGTGGTTAAAGCACTGGCCATTCTTGCAGGGAGCCCTGTTCAATTCCCAGCACCCATACAGCAGCTAACAACTGTCTATAACTCCAATTCCAGGGGACTCCAATGCCGTCTTTTGATCTCCTTGGGCACCGTACAACACGAGTGTACTTACCTGCAGGCAATACATTCATATACATAAAATTTTAAAAAAATAGAATATTTAAAAACAAAAAAAGAGTGATACTGTGTCTTCCTCATAGAGTGTCTAGCATAGCGGTGGCAGCTGGTAATAATTTCATACAGTCTCTGTTCTAGGATGGGAATGGTAGCAAATGGGAATCACCAGCATCCTCTCAGACATGAGTCTCATCCAGCCTCCTTGTTTGGTTCTTAAAGCATCATTCTGGCAATAGTAAAAATGCAAATCCTTGCAAAAAATAATCATGATAAAGAAAATATTTGAGAAATTTATATTTATACTCCAAATTCTACTGGTTTTTATTTTATTCTGCTGTTTACTAATATAAATATGAGGAAGGCCAAAGTCTATTTTGAAAGTCTCTTGGCCACTCCCAATTTTTCAAACTTTGTTGTTTTAACATGATGGTGGCATCTCCCCTCACCATTATATAAATTTAAAAAACTAAATTGCTTGTTTTTCGCATCAGAAAGAAACAGCCAGCCACCAAAAGTCTTACTTGAAGATGAGATTTGATATTTTAATTTTGAGATTTCTTCCCTTTAGCATATTCCAAAGAAAAACAACCCAGTATGTCCTGGGAGAATATCTGCATTGATAAATGTTGACAGTAAAAAGAAAGAGAAATGTAGGCACCGTGTGACCTTCGGACAGTACGTGAACTCTGAACTCAATGTGAACAATCTGGAAAGAAGCGTTGTCTTCTTCCCACACTGGTAAATCCTGACCTCTGTCCTTAGGCAGATGGTGTAAGAATTACTCCCAAGAGAAATACTGCCGTTCCCAGAGATCTGAAATTGCCACCATTAAGTGAAAAGAAGGTAATGAGATTCAAGATAAAAGAAGCTTGACTCATTACTGAATAAGAGGGAAATATTTTAAGCATCTTATTTAGAGGATGAGGAGAATAGATCTTCATCTTGTCCTAAGGAATCAAATGGATCCTTCTACTAATATAATCCAAGTAGAGTCAGCTTTTACTGAGAACAGTCAGCTGAACTGCTTAGCATCCACAGACTTTGAAGCTAGATGAGTTCTTTCAATTGAATTAATTTTAGTATAACTTAAGCATAAGTTAAGAATGAGATCATTCTCAGTGCTTAACCCAGGTCTGTTTTTGAGAGTTTGAGGTGGCTATTTGTGGTGTTGGGGTTCTTGTCCATAAGAATGCTTGTGTGTTACACAGTATAAGTCACTATAAAACAGGAATTCTACCTGCCAACAGTGAACAAGACCACTCCCCAGGCGTGGTGAACTCCGCCCAGAAGCATCATAGCTCATTTTAACACAGAGGCAAATGCTTCAGCTATGAATATGATAGAAATCCTTACACTGAAATGCTCTTTATAGAACTATTTTAAAGAGCTACTTTTAGAACTTAGGGTAACTATATTTCTCACAGAATGCACCCAATTATAAAAATTACATTCTAGTTATTCTGATAGGGCTTTGTCTTTTGGTTCAATGGACCTTGTAACATAGAAAAACTCAACTTAAAGGATGTGTATGTAAGATTGAGCAGAGGAAAGAATAGATGGCATTTCAGAACATGCTGTCACTTTCTAATTCTAAGAATGAAGAAAGAGGATTAAATTTACTAATCTAATTGAATATCTTTCCCAGCAATACTTGAAAGTAGTTGAAGGAAGATGCAAATTGCTACCATTTTTAAAGATCTGCAGCCAGTCATTCTCACAAATCCCACATTAAACTTAACTCTAACCTGCCTAGTTAAAAATGCCTCCTCAATTGATGAATCACTTGAGCTGCTTTAAATGGTGCTGCCCTTTAGTTCTAACTTAGCTGTCCCTACCGCCTCTCTATATTTTTTTAAATTTACTTTTAAGCTCTAGGACCATTTTATTAGAGTTTAAAAGTCAAGAAACCCAGGGTAAGCAAGCTGAACATCTCAGTAGCTGCTTGGAGGAAGAGAATGGAGAAGAGGAGGGAAAAGCTCATTTGAGTTCCCAGCATCCTCCACATGGAGGAGAGGGGAGCTGTAGAGAGAGTGCAAGGAAGCCCAGGGTACCAAATAAAGCATACTTAGGTTCTGGTCGGCATCCAGAAGAGAAAAAGGAAAAGTTGTCAGGACTCATAAAGTGGACACACCCAGCCAAACCTCATGGCTGATGGTAGGGACTGCCACAAATCATCTTTCGAATGGACTATGGAGCTGTGGAGATGCTCTGTGGGTAAAGTCTTTGTTGTGTAAGAATACAGACCTGAGCTCAGATCCTCAGAACCCATGTGAAAGCCAGGTGTGACAGAGGGCATCTGTAACCCTAGCACTGCCTGGAGGAGGCAAGGTGATCTCAAGGCCTTGCTGGCCAGCCATGTTGTCAAATCAGCAAGTTCTAGATTCAGTGAGAGAACCCGTCTCAAAAAATAAGATGGAGACCAATTAAGGAAGACACCTGACATCAGCCTCTGGCCTCATAAGCCTTCGAAGCACAACCTCACATACGTGTACGCATGCCTACACCACACACAAGCACACCACACACAAAATAGCGAATGAATAATGACTGAGTTAAATGGGCTCTTTGCATCTTGTAGTGTATTGGGCTCATGGTTTTACACTGTTTAACGATAGAGACATTCTAAGGAATGTGTCACTATTGCATTGTGTGTGAATGTCATGGACTTATACAAACCTCCACGATTCGGCAGAATCACTTTAACAGGTCTCTTGATGCAGTCAAGTACATGGTAAACATAGGTATGAAGCTGCTGCCAACATGACTGAACATACTATTTTCCAGTAAACATTTTTGTAAGTAAGTATATACCCTAAAATAATGATTAAAAGTATGGTATAGTAAATACATAAACTAGTAACAGTTGTTAAAGTCAATACTACAATTAATTGTGTGTGCTGCACTTCTCTATGGCTGGCAGACAGCACAGTAGGCTAGGATACACCAGTGGTACCACAAATGCACAAGTTCTGCACTTTGATGTTATAGTGGCATCACTGGACAATAGTTGTTTTGTAATTCCATTTTAATCTTATGGGACGACCACCATTGGTGGTTAAGTCAAAGAATGGCTTTTGATTCTTGGCTAACATTCTCCACACTGAGTCCTGTTCAAGCACCCATTTCTAGGACAAAGTGAATCTGAAAGTACACATGAGTTTAGTACTTTGGGCTACAGCACACTGGCCTGTCCTGCACTGGAATGCCCAGTAAGGCAAACTTGGCAAGCCTACCATAGATATGTGCTTCTTGTCAGTTTAGGTCTGTTTTTGAGAGTTTGAGGTGGCTATTTGTGGTGTTGGGGTTCTTGTCCATAGAAAAGTCCAAGAATGCTTGTGTGTTACACAGTATAAGTCACTATAAAACAGGAATTCTACCTGCCAGCAGTGAACAAGACCACTCCCCAGGCGTGGTGAACTCCGCCCAGAAGCATCATAGCTCATTTTAACACAGAGGCAAATGCTTCAGCTATGAATATGATAGAAATCCTTGGGAGCAGAATGAATAAGCTGGATCCTGCACTGGCTCACTGTTGATCCCTTCTCTTAGTGAGGATTCAAATTGGTTAAAAACAGTCAGTTCTCAGACCACTTACTATAAAACCAATAATATCCTGCCCACCACCCAGTGCTGGAGAATGAACATGCTAGGCAAGCGTTCTACCACTGAGTCCCAACTGTGCATTTTAAAATGCATTTTAAGCTCAAGTAGAAATAAACACTGCATTATTGTGCTCTACTGTAATGTTATGTGCTGCCCTTGTAAGCACATGCCAAGGTCATTGTTCCCAAGGGGTTCCTTTTCTGTCCATTCATTAGCTACATGTCTATTGTGCTCTACTGTAATGTTATGTGCTGCCCTTGTAAGCACATGCCAAGATCATTGTTCCCAAGGGGTTCCTTTTCTGTCCATTCATTAGCTACATGTCTGTTATACACCATGAATTCCCTGCCACAAGAAAGGAAAACAGGAAATGTCTTCTTTGATTTTGATATCTCTCCTGCATTCATCACATACTGCATTAGCACCTTCAAGTGAACATAGCAGAGAAACATCAGAAAATAATGTATGCAGTGGAACCTTCATTTTCTGTGCTAGGAATTCCTGACTGATTTTTTGTTGTTGTTGTTTAAACAGATACAGGACACTTCCTTTATTCTGTGTATTGTGGTAATACAACCGGAAATACCTGTCAAACAACTGAAAAACCTCAACACTGTGCCCAGCAGCAAGCTGTTGTACCACCGACTGGATCTCCTGGGCCAGCCTAGCGCTTGCCTCCACTTCAAGCAGCTGGCAACTCTAGGTAAAGTGCATGGGCTCCTCGGCTTCCTGTGTGACCTCCCTCCTGGCAGCTCCTCATAAACATATATTTGAATTATTCTCCCAGCTCTGTCACCCAATGTCTGCAGTTCTAGAAGGTTTGGAGATGACTGTGAAGCAGCCAGGCCCACACCTGTAATCCCAACACTCATTAAGCTGAGGCAAGCAGATCACTGTGGGTTCGAGACTAGAGTAGGCCGCTTAGTGAGTTCCAAGACAGCCTGAGCTACAGAGCTAGAACTGTCTCAAGAAACTAAATAAAAGAACACAGTGGCCAGGCGTGGTGGCGCACACCTTTAATCTCAGCACGTGGGAGGCAGAGGCAGGCAGATCTCTTGTGAGTTCAAGGCCAGCCTGGTCTACATAGTGAGTTCCAGAACAGCTGGGGCTACAGGGTGACCCTGTCTCAAGAAGACCAAAAAAAAAAAAGAAAAAAGAACAAAATGGAAAGTGTGAAGCAGGTTATGTGCCTTGCTGTGGGTCATATTACTCAGGAGACTCTGAGACAGGAATTTATGTACCAATGATTTATAGAGTGTACACTCTCAGAAGAAACCAGAGAGGAAGAGGAGGAAACGGGGAGAAAGAGGAAAAAGACAAAATGAACTTGGTTTCAGGTGACATTCCAACCCCCTCCTGATTATCAGAGTGTCCATTACAGCAATGTTTTTCCAGACCCCAGGTGGGGAGCTCAACTTTCATATCCCTCAGTCCCCCTTAGCTTGCAGCTAGTGCTAGGCAAGTTTTGAAGCCCAGAGGCAGGCTGCAAAGATAGAGGTATCCTGCCATTGAGAAACAGGACACCTATGTGGGGAGATCCAGGTGGGAGCTGGGTGGGAAAACAGATAGAGGGATGTGTAGGAATCTGGTGAGCATACTGTATCTGCCATGGGGTCCAGCCCTCAAAAGAGTTTTTAGTACTAGGCAGAAACTCCAAAGGAAGCAAAGGCGACTTAGAGTTGGAATGAACCAGGTGTTTAGCACCGTCACCTTGGATGACTGTGATAAGGAAGACATTTGGGATTGCCAAAGAAAAATAGTTTCTTCCAAATAACACAAAAGGTAGCAAAGCTGATGTGTGACCCCCACCCCAGTTTTAGCATTGTGTCCTTTTTGCTTTTCCTTGCCCTGAGATCTGTTTCCTCTGAAATTAATGCAGCAACTGCTTGGATGACTGTGATAAGGAAGACATTTGGGATTGCCAAAGAAAAATAGTTTCCTCCAAATAACACAAAAGGTAGCAAAGCTGATGTGTGACCCCCTACCCCAGTTTTAGCATTGTGTCCTTTTTGCTTTTCCTTGCCCTGAGGTCTGTTTCCTCTGAAATTAATGCAGCAACTGCACTCTATTTTAATTGACATTGACCTGGTGTCTCTGTCGATTTATTTCTAATCTATGTGTATCTTTACAGATGAAGTGGATTTCTCGTACCCTCTGTGGTTGTGTCTTGTTGGCTCGTTTGCTTTCATCTACTCACGGCTGTCTTTACTGTTTTGGTTTGGGTTTTATGCTATTTGTGGTTTTGTTTAATTTTTGTTTTGTTTTGTTTTGAGATAGGGTCTCCCTCCAACTTCCCTGGAACTCACTATGTAGACCAGGCTGGCCTTGAACTCACAGAGATTCCCCTGCCCCTGTCTCCCGAGTGCTGGGATTAAAGGAGTGCGCCACCATGCCTGGCTCTGTTTTGTTTGTTTTTAAGACAAGTGTCACCCTGGCTGGTCTCAAACTCTCTTCCTGCCTCAGCCTTTCAAAGCTGGGATTACAGGGATGTGCCACAGTGCCTGGTCAGTCTTTATCTTTCAATGGATATATTAGACTACTGAGCTTGCCTCTGGCAGATACACTTAGAGTTTTTTATTTATTATTTATTTATTTTTATTTTGTGTGTATGAGTGTTTTGCTTGCATGTAAGTGCACCCGTGTTGTGCAGTGCCCATGAAGCTAAAAAGAGGATGTCAGATTCCCCAGAACTGGAGTTAGGGACAGTTGTTAACAGCCATGTGGGTACTGGGAACTGAACCTGGGTCCTCTGAAGAACAGCCAGTGTTCTTAACCATTGAGCCATGTCTCCAGCCTCTACACTATTGGTCTTTAAAGTGATTATTTCTATAATCCAATTAATATCTGCTGTCCATTGTATAATGTCTAAATCAGGTTAAACATACCCACCCATCTCAAACATTATTTAGTGCTAATTTTTTCAAAATGCTCTCTTCCAGCTTTTCGAAATGGACAGCGTGTTGTCCGTGCAGTGCCGGTGCCGCTGGCTCACTGTATCTGAGTACCCATTACCTGCCACTCCTCTGCCTTCTCACCCGCCCCATCCTCACCAGGCTCTTGTTACCACAGGCTACTTTCAGCCTCAACTCTTTAGAGTCCACTTGCGAGTGAGATCATGCCACATTTGCCTTTCTGTGCTTGGCCCCTTTGTTTCACTTAATGACCTCTCCAGTTCCACTGTCATTCCTTCATGGCTTCATAGCGTTACATTGTATTGCTGTACCTCATTTTCATTATCGATTTGTCAGTTGATAAGCACATGGGTTGTTTCCTTTTTTGGCTATTACGAATAGTGCTACAGTGAGCATGGGAGTCCAGTGTCTCTACTACAGCCTGACTTCATTTCCTTTAGATAGCAAAGTGGGATTGCTGGACAATGTAGTTCTAGTTTTAATTTCTTGAGGAAACTCCATGTGTTTCCCATACTGGTTGTACTGTACTAACTCACATTCCACCAACAGTTTATAAGGGTTCTCCCTTTTCTACATCCTCATCAGCGGGTATTATCCTTTATCTTTGGATTAGAGCCATTCTGCCTAGGGTCAGGTGACACTGCACTGGGATTTTGATCTGCATTTCCCTAAGGATTAGTGATGTTGAATATTGTGAACACATTTGTTGACCAGGCTGAGATTTGACTCATGCACACTTGGCTGCCATGCTGCCATTGCCAGGCATAGAAAGCCTTTGTAGTCTATGTAGTCAATATCTATAGGATGTCCACTGTTTGGTAAAATGGGTATTCTTTTTCCCTGTTGAAAATATTTAGGGTTTTCAAAAGTTCCTAGCTAATCACTCACAGCTAGCAAAATGAGTAGAGGGACACAGGTTGGAAGGAGATCAAAGATAGAGTCCCCATGCTCTAGATTCCAGTTGTCTACACTGGAATTTGAGGTTCTCCATTAAATTCCTTTCTAGAAAATTCTTCCCAGACATGAAATCAGAAGAGCAAGCCAAGCTAAGTGATCTTTTCTATGGCACATTCCAGCATTGTCAACAATTACAGAGCCTGTGATGTAACCTAAGAAGGCTGAATTTTACATCTGTTTGTTTTAACTTGGGCTTGGGGTTTTATTGTCTGTTTTCATACAAAAGAAATTTCACATTTTAAAGAAATGCTTTCCTGCAAAGCTAATATGTGCAAGACTTTTAAGTTCTGTGGCAGTAAGCTTTGCTACTTGTAGAAATGAGATCGTTGTTCTGAAACGTGAGGTCGTGTAGTTCAAGCGCTCTTGATGAGAAAGAAGCTGCACCAAGATTTAAATTTTTCATTTGCATAATCCTGCTGCATAGCTACTCTGTCTAGTAGGTCAACTACTGGCTTTATGTACTCAGTAGAATTTTTACATTGATTATATACTAAACAATTGTTTTTAGCATTTCATACATACATTATTAGAGTTCATTTAAGTATTTCTTTCTGTTCTTCTTGATGTCACTTTCAGAAAGTTTTAAAGTATATTTATGAATGGCATTATATTTATTTTACAACATTGCTCTTGAGTTTACTCAATGTAGCATTTATCAGCTCACACATTGTCTGATTGTCTGATCCCAGGTCACACAGGCAGACCTCAGGTCAATGCTGAGTTTCCTGAGAAGTTCCTTCCATTGTATCACCCATGATCACCTGGGTGATGAAGTTCTAGGGCAAAGTAGAGAGACCGTCTAGGACCAGTTAGCAATGAAAGTGATCCAAGGCCATTCAAACGCAGCTGAAAAGGAATGGGAAACTTGATAAGCAAGTGGTTTCTCTCTGATTTCATTGGTGATGAAGATGTTGACGCAAGATATTAAATATATGCCAGTTGTCTAGAACTGTCTGAGGGTGTAGCTCAGTGGCACATGTCGCTCACTTGCTTAGATAGGCAAGGCTGTGGTTTCTAACCCTAGAACTGAGAAGAGGAAGGGGTGTAATGGAATGATACTGTCTTTCTTAGTATATAAAAAAGGGGAGGGAGTTGTTTTGAGAGTACATTACTACAGCTATTTTTATGTACATATGTATGTATGTATGTATGCATGTATGTATAAGCATGTATGTCTACCTTCCAGAGACAAAGCTTTGGGTCTAGTATTATGCTTCTTTCTTCCCGTATATGCTCCAGCCATCTTATTGCATCAGCCTTTTCTAAAGTGCTCATCTGTGTCATTATAAGAAAGGCTCACTCCCTCAGGCAGCGTTGCTTCCCCTCACTCTGATCCTCTTACAACACTCTCATCTCAGAAATATACTATACTAATCTTACATTGTTGTTTTCCTCTAGCACCCTTATCCCTGTCTCTTGTTGCTCTGACTGGATCCAAAGCTCTCTGAGTACAAGGACTGCATTCTTTCTCACTTGCACTCTTCTCTCTCTCTCTCTCTCTCTCTCTCTCTCTCTCTCACACATCACACACACACACACACACACACAGATGCTGATGACTCTACGAACGTGAGTCAATAACATGCAGGCCAGCCTTTGTAAGCCTCTACCTTACATCTCTTTGATTACTTATGGTTAATATAATAATTTCCCAAGGTATCCTATAAAGGTATTCTGAGAATTAAATGAGAAATAGCATCATGAGAAGCAACAGTTTCTGAGGACAACTGAGAGTTCTAGATGGAAAAACAATCCTGGAGTAAGATCTTTAGGGAAACATTAAGGAACTTACATGATAGTGAGGAATTACTGGGCCCAAAACGAAAATATACAACAAACTCAGGGAAGGCAGCCTGCATTTAGTTCCACTTCTTCAGTGCATGTATCTACCAATCTAGAAAAATAAAACAGCTGTGGAAGTAAACTATGTTTCATGTGGCTTCTGAGGCTTCAGAAGGGAGAAGAAATCAAATTCAGAGTCCCCAAAAGGTAGAGTTAATAATGAGACCACCCTCTCTTTCCCCCGCACATATACATGGTTTCAGTAGTGACCTAGAAAACCTCATCTTTAGGGTAGAGTGAAGTCACAGTGTTGTGATTAGACCATCATCCTGGCTCTTCATTGGAAATTTTTTATACAACTCATCCTGCCTCTTGGTGTAGTGTAGCACATGAGCAGGTCAAGCAAAAGTCAGTTTCTGGGGGAGGAGATTCCCATTCTCTAGGCTTCAGTTAGTCCAAGAAATTACTTTGTGTTTTGTTACTGTCTCTTTTGTATGTTTACACAAAGCCAGGCCAAGCAGGTGCTCTATTTCCTGACCTGTATCCTCAACTCCAAATTAGATGTTTTTTGGTTTGGTTTGGTTTGGTTTGGTTTAGTTTATCTGGCACATAAAATATCTCCAGACTATAAGGAAGTAAAGCGCCATGTGTAAGAAGTATCAGAAGGGATAGAAAATTACCTGCAGATTTAAATGAGGTAAGACACATGAGAATGGTTTTAAACACATTTAAAAATATAGTAAGGGTGGGTGTGATGGCAGATACGTTTAATCCAGCACTCAAGAGGCAGAAGCAGGCAGAGCTCTGTGAATTGGAGACCAGCCTGATCTACATAGCAGGCAAACAGCCTGATTGGCCAGGGCTACATAGTAATCTGTCTCAAAAAATAGAAGATGATAGATAGGTAGATAGATGATAGATAGATAAATAGATGGTAGATAGATAGATAGATAGATAGTTAGATGATAGATAGATAGATAGATGAATAGATAATGATGATAGATGATAGATAGATAGATAGATAGATAGATAGTTAGATGATAGATAGATAGATAGATAGATAGATAGATGAATAGATAATGATGATAGATGACAGATAGATAGATAGATAGATAGATAGATAGGATAGATAGATAGATAGATAGATAGATAGATAGATAGATGATAGATAACTGATAAATACATAGATACAAGGATAAAAATTTTTAAATATATAGATGTAGATTATATAGATATAGTAAAGTTGAACAATAGAAAATTCCAAATACGAGGATTTTAGTTTCATACTGTGATTCATTTTGTCTCAAGTAGGAAACTGGTTTTTCACATTAGAAACACTATTTAGGCATGTATATGTGGACTACTCTGTTTCTATAAGTCTTTATTTAGCTGCCACCATCTAAAAGAATAAATTTTGAATTTCATTTGTGTATTAATGTCAATGTTTCATGTTTCTTCTTCCAAATAATAGTCTGGCATGAATACTAATAGTTATCCCTCACTGATAGCATGCTGTTCTGTGTGGACCTGAAAAGCACGTTCACTGAGACTCTATAGAATTAGTGCTGTTCTTCTTGCCCTTTTAGCAGGTGCTTGTCCAATGTCTCACATTAGGAAATGGTGATGCCCAGATTCTCTTTAGTCTGGCTCCATGTTTGCCTGCTTGCTCGGGCCTAATGTACATAGCAAGCACACACAGGATACGTTCTACCTCCAGCACTTGTGCTCATCTGTGCATGTCCCTATTCTGGTCTGCTCATAGGACCATAAGCTCCCTGAAGGGAGAGAATGTGGCTTTTTTCCCTTTTCTTTGTTCTCATTGTCAAGCTCTTTGTGTCCTTCTGGAAGACGTTAAGCCACCATAGCAGACGTGTTGGCAGAGCCTGAGTGATGCTTTTGTTTGGGCCTGAGACGAAGTCTCTGTGTTCTGAGGCCTGCTTTGTTGGCTTCTCTTTCAGAAAGTCCAACCGTCATGCTGTCTGCTGGCAGCTTTTCCTCCCCCTACGAGCACCTCAGCCAGCCAGAGACCAAGCGCATGGTGGAGCATTACACGGCCTATCTCAGCGACAACACTCGCCTCATTGCTAACCCAGGGCTCAAAGTGAGTACTGGCACAGGCCCCATCTTTGGGGCCCCTTTCCACAGGCCCAGGAGGGGGTACTGGCCACGAACCTTTGAAGTGCCAAGCCCTGCTCTGCATCTGGGCCTCTCTGCCAGGAGTCAGAAAGGCAGAGTGTGTGCCCCAGGGGAGCTTGGTCAGCTGTGACCCGTTTGATGGATTAAGAAGCCCAGTGGGCTAATGAAGAATCTGCTTCAGGCCTCAGATGCACAGGGGATTTCCAAGGTAGGGGGTGTGATTAAGAGACCAGAGAAACTTTCTCACTCCACTTTTCTCAGGCTCAAGAGCTCTTCCGCTGTCTATTGAAAGAAATCAGACATCCGGGCAGCAATGAGTGGAGGGAGAGGGAATCTGTGTGTCTGTAGGACTTTTCTTAACACCCTGTGAGCCCAGCTAGGTAGTCACACGCTCCCTGACTGTATTCTGCAAGTCACCAAGTTTGGCTACATCCATCTGCTGTGGAAAGATTTTTTAAGAAGTAATTGAGCTTGGCTTCTGTGTGAGAGCCTTGGGGAGCCTTGCCAGCCCATACTCTTTTCATGTGAGTTTTAAAGGAGCCCTGCAATGTCTTCCTTTGTTTCCTAGTTCTCTGTCAGAAATGAAGTAATGGCGACCAGCCACGTCACAGATGAATGGATGACACAAATGGAAATGAGCAGCCTGAACACATACATTGTCCGCCGTTACATAGCAACACCCAATGGCGTCCTCAGAATTTATCCTGGTTCCCTCATGGACAAAACATTTGATCCCACTAGGAGACAGTGGTGAGTCTGAGGGGGTGAGCAGTTCAAAGATCCCCCTAGTTCTGGAAAGACATGATAAGTACATACAATAAAGCAGCTTTGGGCAGTCCCAGGAAAAGAAGACACTTCTCTGGGGGTGAAATTGTTTTAAATTTTTTTCAACATGACAGTATGAGATTTATGGATTTTTTTCTACCTGCAGTGTGCTGTCGCTACTGAAATTTTGAGACTAAAATGCTTTGTACTTGACCATCTCAGTTCCTAATTTTCTTGTTGGCTTCTACCTCATGCACAGCAGTCACCACATGATTACGGCATCACGTTTCAGCTCATGTATGACCTGTGGGAAACAAATGCTTAGAATTTCAGGAATATTCCTTTACTTCTGGGCTTTATTTTTACTCTTGATTTTTCAAACCAAAGCCAGCCAGGTGCTACCATAGGGAAGTGACATGAGCACAGGACAGAATTTCTTGTGCTGGGTAGCAGCTGACTCACTCATGAGTTAGCTCTTAATACCTGTTCCCCACCCACAACAATCTAGGCTGTATTTTTGTGTTTATTTCTTTTTACTTCATTCTTTACTCCTTTTCTGTCCTACCCTCTGAATCATCTATACTATGGATCCCAAATCCCAGCAAAAGCATGAATGTATTCAGAGTTTAGGATCTATTAGGACAGAGTATTTTTCTCAGCCTTTTGTGTTGATGCTCCGGTCAGACATAAAAGGTAAGAATATAGGCTGGGTATGCAGCTCACAGGGAGAACACTTCATGTTAGTATAGTTTACAGTAATTTTAGAGCTGCAAGCTCACTGCTAACTGAAACTGACAGTAGTTTATACCTAAAATAACAACTTTCTTGGATCTCCATTAGGTATCTCCATGCGGTGGCTAATCCAGGGCTCATTTCTTTGACTGGCCCTTACCTGGATGTTGGAGGAGCTGGCTATGTTGTGACTATCAGTCATACAATTCATTCATCCAGGTAATATTTTAATTAATTTTTTAGTCACTTTAATTTTTTTAAATTACATGTATTTATCAACTTACTGAGTGTATGCAGTACATACATGGAGGTCAGAGAAAAACTTGCAAGGGCTGGTTATCTCCTTCCACCATATGGGTCCCATAATGGAATCAAACTCGGGTCATCAGGCTTAATGGCAAGCACCTTTACCCAGCGAACCATCTTGCTGACCCTTTTTAGTCTCCTTTTAAATCTATCAAGGATATTTTGAAAATTTAAATAGAGCAGGAGAGATCAAAGATTAGTGGCAAAGCGTGTCCTCTGCAGCGAGAATATGAATGTATTCAGCTGCAGCACTTTGGGCTCCCTCAGTTTTCTCCTGACATCTGTAAAATGGGGGTAATTCCCACCTTACAAGTTATCATGTGAGTTAAGTCAATGCAAGGCTTTTAGCCCTGTTCTTGAGCTATGATGATGTTTGTGAAAAAGAAAAAGAAAGACATTGAGGAGTCAGGAAGGAAGTTTGTAGAAATGCCTGCTGTAAACTGATGAAAGAAATGCCAACCAGAGGACTGGGGAGATATTCAGCAAGTGCAGAACTGACCACATAAGAGTGAGGACCAGGGCCTGCCTGTAATCCCAGTGCTCAAAGGGTAGCGACAGGGCCCTGCCTCATTAAACAAAGTCGAGAGTGATCAAGGATTCACCCTCTGACCTTCACGTGCACCATATTCAGCAAGTGCAGAACTGACCACATAAGAGTGAGGACCAGGGCCTGCCTTAATCCCAGTGCTCAAAGGGTAGCGACAGGGCCCTGCCTCATTAAACGAAGTCGAGAGTGATCACCCTCTGACCTTCACGTGCACCGGGATACATGTGCACCAGCACACACGTACACCCACATACACTGTACACACATGTCATACACATCACGTCCAAAAAGCAAAAGAAACACCAGCAGGATCATTACAGCTTTTGTTGCCAGAATTGTTCTGTTTTCAAGCAAAGGAACATTTTTTAATGAGAAGTACCAGGGGTCAGGCTTTTATTTTCCTCTCTTTAGAATCATAAATATTGTTTGGTTTTCTTTTGTTTTTTTTGTTTTGTGTTCTTGAAACTCTTAAAAAAATAAAAATGCTTTTTGAAAATTGATGTTCTCAGAATGCTATATAGTGTCAAGATCACTGTAAACATATTTAGAATGTGTTATGTTTCCTGCAATTTGAAGCTTCAGTCCTGAGGATACAAACGGCACTGAAAACTTGGGCAGGGAGGCAAGTCTGCACACTGCTTTACTCCTTTCATTATACAAGTAGCTGTTTCCTCAGAGCATCTAAAAAGTCCATATTTTAGCTTCTACCTGGATCGAAGCCTTAAAATTTAGCGAAAAATCAAACTTTCTTGCTGTTCCCTGGTGTTCATTATATATCAAATGACTGATACATGTTAGAATTCCTCTAATGTAAGTTCATTGGGATAATGATGGGAAATGGGGTGGGATGGAATTCCAGGATGGGGCCCATGTCTCTGTGGAAAGCCTTGCCTTGCAGCCAGCCAAATGCTGGTTCTTTGTAGGATATGGTAGCTGCTTGACTGTCAATTGTTCCCATAACACAGTATTTCACACATAAGCAAGTAAGCCCTCACGTGGCATACCTCCTTTAGTGTTTCTGTTAACAGAACATGTGGTGAATACACACTTAAAAGTGTCTGAACACTGAGGCTTGTCATCTGCTCCATATAATCTAATCAGTTGAAGAAAAGTAAATAAAGGCAGTTCTTCAAGGAACAGCAATCACCTTGACCTTTGATTACAGTGCCCAGTGCCAGAGCTGGGTTTTCAAACATGTTGCTACAGCAAGGTGTTCCCCCTCCACCCCCTGCTTCCCCCACACCATGGCAGCCCATTATAAAGAGCTCTTAGCTTCCTCTGCTGTCCTGTGCTTTTAAGGCCCAGTTTGTATACTTGTGTGTATATGTATATGCATTGTTGGGGTTTGGATAAGTAGCAGAATCTTGATTTGGTTCATTTACAAATCTTTATGGTGTCTGTTAAAATAAAACTTGATAGAAATGCAGTGACTTTTCAAATGAGAAAAACTTAGCTTTAGATCTCCTTTTGATTATGTTTAACCTGCATGAGTTTAACCTCTGTGAATTTATTAAAAAAAAAAAAAAAAAAAAAAAAGACTTGGGGCAGTTTCAGTCCTAAACATGAAGTCACTCAATGAAGACCTGAGCATATGCAATTCACAGACCCTGTCATTTGAATATTTTACTTAGCTGATTAACTATTTAAAGCCGTGAATTCTCATTCAACATGACTTAGAGTCAAGTGGACCATGGCTTCTGAGACTCACTCAGCCAAGTATGTGCATATGGCTTTGACGGAACAGTTGATAGACAGGCTCTGCAAAGATACTTTTTTCAGTTAGTGATTTGACCTTGTATGCCAGCTTAAACCTATTCTCCTAAGAAATGTGAAAGCAGATTTGCTGTTTATGATTTATATGGCTAGAAACAAATCCTTTTGCCTTTGTTTCCTCTCTGGGAAAGAGGGATATTAGAGCCTATCTCAAGTAATTATTTTAAGGATTAGACTAAATAATCTATGTAAAGCTCATCGAACAGTACCTGGAACATGGTAAGGGTGCGGGAACTCTTGCCCTCATTACTGTGTTCCATGACCTCTTAGGCCTCGAATGTAATGAGGAAGTTGGGTCCCTATTGAGTTGATTGGATGAGCATGAAAGTAGATGCCTGGGAAAATGCTTAGCACTAAACCTGACAGTGTCAGGTAATAAGAAAATGACAGTTATTTTATTATCATGCTATTCGGGCTTTAAATTTGTGGCATTGTAATTGGTCAGAGGAAAGCACCGAGGCTAACACTCAGCTTCTATGAAGTGCTCCCACTCACCCTTGGCTTTCAGGCATGGTTTGACAGTTAGCAGAGGGTTTTCTAACTCAGCATTCATTTGTCAGTCACTCAAAGGAGCTCTGTTCAGTTCCATAAGCATTTCTAGTGCTAACCATCTAGCTGTGCTGTACTGCTGAATGAAGTCTGGTCACTGATTAAGGGACTGGTCACATGATCTCAGCATAAAAATCTCATATAGGTATTACCATCAACCTGGTCCATTATGCTTAGAAATGTAGATTTAACTAGATTTTTCTGTAAAATTCTTCATGAGTTACTATGGTAACAGTATACCTATCTGAAATGCAAGTAAAAATATAAAACTAGACTTCCATGGGAAAGATGTATGCTATTACTTCCTGTTGATTCATACTGGAGCAGATAGCAGCCATGCAGAAGAAGTTCCGAAGTAAATTTCATATCCCCAAACACCTGAGCTGTATTTTTCATCAAAGCAGTTGTAGTGTTAATAGAATCAGCCTTGGGTACTGATTCCAATATCATAGGTAAAAAGTGACAGCCTGGCTCTCATTTAAGTCTTTTAACCATTCTGAGCCTATTTTTTTCATTCATGAAATACAAACTGATTCCTTCCTAGCTTTTTTTCACAGAAATTAAATTATGTAACATTGCTCGAAGCCCTACAGATGTGGCTTAATGATTAAGAAAATATCCTTTTGGAATGAGGCACTGAGTTTCTGTCCCTGTATCTGCTTGTCCCAAGTTTCAGTGTTGTTTTTTTTTTATATATTTTACTTATTATTTTTACGTGTATGTGTGTATTGCCTGCATGTAGGTAAGTTATACTAAGAAATTAAATTATGTAACATTGCTCGAAGCCCTACAGATGTGGCTTAATGATTAAGAAAATATCCTTTTGGAATGAGGCACTGAGTTTCTGTCCCTGTATCTGCTTGTCCCAAGTTTCAGTGTTGTTTTTTTTTTATATATTTTACTTATTATTTTTATGTGTATGTGTGTATTGCCTGCATGTAGGTAAGTTATACTCGTGTCATGCAGTGTCCACAGAGGACAGAAGAGGCTGTTGGATACCCTGGAACTGGAGTTATGGACAGTTGTTAGCTGCCATGTGGGTGCTGGGATTCAAACCCGGGTCTTCTGCAAGAACAGTCAGTGTTCTTAACTGCTGAGCCATCTCTCCAGCCCCAGTTTCAGTGTTCTTAAATAATGCCTCCTAATTTACCATAAGAAGGAGCTGAGGATGTCACTTCCTAGAGCACCTACCTAGCACGCACCAGGCCCTGGATTCAATCCTCAGTCCTGAGAAGGGAAACGAAAAGGACTGATGTGAAATAATTAAGATTCCTGTAAATTTTTTTTCTTTCAGTATTTTCTGGCAAATAATAATAGATGCAGGGCTCTTGAAAGTCAATGTCAGGCAAGCCCCGCTGTTTTCCTCTGAGTCACTTGTGCTTTTTTGCGAGATTGCTGTATGCTAGCGAGGCATCTGGCTAGCACTAGCTCATTTAATTGCAATAGCAGGTTTGTAAAACAGGTACCATTATTATCTCCATTTTCAAATGAGAAAACTGAAGCTTAGACCAAATAGCATCCAGAAGGTACATAAATAGAATGAGAAGTACCAGAACTTGACCTCATGTCTACCAACAAGTGAGCCATTACCACTGTGCTGTGCTGCACAGCTTCCCCTTTGGAATCTCCTCCTTTAAGAGTAGATTGTAGTGTGGAGGAGGTACTGGCCTCCAAACCAGAAGACTCAAATATGAGCTTTGAGTAGAGTCCATCTTGGTGTTCTGGGAAGAAAACTAGACTGGACAGTGTTCCTGATAAGTATTATGTGACCTGACTCTACTCAGATAACCTTTGTGAGGTCTCCGTTCCCTTACCGACAAAATGAAGGAAGTTGTTAAAGCAGTTGCTCAGGTTCCTTTTCTAGAACTTTGTTCAAAGTAACCATAATAGGGTCTGCAAGATGGCTCAGCAGGTGACGGTGACATGAGTTCAATCTCCAGGACCCACATGGTAGAAGGAGAGAAACTCTGACCTCTACACACACTCTGTGGCATTCATGTGCCCACATGTGCACACGCATATGTATACACAAGAATGAGAATAAGTGTAACTTTAAAAAAAATTTAAGTAACCATAATAGCCTTAGAAACGAAGCCTGCAACATCTCACTCTCAAAAAGGCCAACCACTGTGAGTGAACGTGCTTGGGTGTCAGGGGCTGTTCCACAGCTCCTCATGTTTGGGACTGGGCTTATTCAGAAAGCCATAAATTTGGTCTCCAAAAAAATTTTTTTTCTTAAAACAGGGTCTCCCTGAAGCCCTGTCTGGCCTGGAACATGCCATGTAGACCAGGCTGACCTCGAACTCACAGACCTCTGCATCCCTCTATCTCGCGAGTGTTGGGATTAAAGGCATGTGCTACCACCCCCAGCTATAGCTTCAGTTTTTTCTTTTTTGCCATCTTTACTGAATTCAGTCGTGCAGTGTTTTCAGACATAAGGAAACAGGGAAGAGGGAGAGTGTTTCTGATACTATGCAATGTCATGTATGCTTCTCCTGTGTTCTCGATGGTTTCTTTCACATGAAGTACGCAGCTGTCTTCTGGGCACACTGTGGCTGTGATGGGCATTGACTTCACACTGAGATACTTCTACAAGGTTCTGATGGACCTGTTACCTGTGTGTAACCAAGATGGTGGCAACAAAATAAGGTAAGCCCTGTGAAGATACCATGCTATAGCATCAGATATCAGCCAGATAGTTAGGATCAGGACGAGAAACTGAGTTCACAGTCTAGGTCTTCCATTAAGAAAAGTTCTTTTTGTCTTATTTCCTATTTTCTTTCTTTTTTTAAATGTGTGGTGTGTGTGTGTGTGTGTGTGTGTGTGTGTGTGTGTGTGTGTGTGTGTGTGTGTGTGTGTAGGTGCATGTGAAGGTTGAGGAACAACCATAGGTGCCGGTTGTCAGTTCACCTTATTTGAGGCAAGGTCTCTTGCTCATGGCCGCAAACACCGGGCTAGCTGGCCTGTGAGTTTTCAGGGATTCCCCTGTCTCTACCTCTCTTCTTACCATTGGAGTACTGGAACTACAGACAAACTGTTGTGCTAAGCTTCACATGAGATCTGGGGATTCGAACTCCAGGCCACATGCTTGTAAGACAAGCATTTTACCCGCGGAATCATCTCTGCAGCCCTTCTTTCCTTTTTCTAGGCTGCATGCTGTTTATGATTTAGACTACAAAGCACAGGGCAAAAGAAATAGCATAGTACCCCGGAATCTCATTTCCCTAGAAGTTAGTGATCAGAGGCTTCCCTTATCTTTGGTATTGGGAAGACCAGAGGGCCCTTTCTCTTGGGTAGCACTTTTGATGTTAACTTAGTCATTAAGCCAATCTTTGTGAATTTCAGCTGCTTAGATTGCTCTTTAACATTTTCCCAGAAAGAGGCTCATGGAACTAAGACTTTGCCTCCTGAATTTCAAAAGAACATGCCTGATCAAAGCAAGGGCGATGCTGCTGCTTTTAAAAATAGCATCTTAGTTCAACCTCGTGGTCCATGCTTCATGTCACTGCTGAATTTCACATTGGCACTTAATGGACATGTGCAGGGATCCTGGAAAACTGCTCTGACTGATGTTCAGGAAAAGAAAGTAAAATACAGTCTTGATTAAAGCAATTTTAGCCCAACTTATTTAGTGTTTCCACAAAATATGTTTTTATATGAACCTGAATGTTATATTCTGTTTATATTCATCATTGAAAGAAGAAAATATGATTCCCTTAAAGTTTGTGTCTGCAAATACTCAATTTTATTTTCTGAGAGAGAGAGACAGAGACAGAGACAGAGAGAAACAGAGAAATATCCAACTTCTATTATTTTTGCAAAAGATTTTCAAGTCCCTCATACTTGGATTGTATGGGTACATTCTGTATGAACTATATAGGTGTCCAGAAAGGGATGCATAGCTCACACCTTCACCTGTATGCCAGGTAATCCGTCACCTCAAGAATAAGCTATTTTCCAGCCTGGCCAGCCTGCCTTCATTTTTCCTATGAGTCTGAGATAAATGCTATGTGTTTCGGGACTAGCAAGGTAGGTGCCCTTTAAAGTCACTCCAGCAGCTCATGTGAATGAAGGCCATCACTTGTTTTGGTACAGGTGCTTCATAATGGAGGACAGGGGTTATCTGGTGGCTCATCCAACCCTCATTGACCCCAAAGGACATGCTCCTGTGGAACAGCAGCACATTACTCACAAGGTAGCTGTTGCAATGCTGATGAGCTCAGTTATGCTACTGTCTTCAGGGCATTAAATGACACTTGTCTTCTGTCCTGTTTGGCCTTATCAGGAACCCCTAGTAGCAAATGATATCCTGAACCACCCCAACTTTGTGAAGAAGAACCTGTGCAACAGCTTCAGTGACCGGACAGTGCAGAGGTTTTATAAATTCAACACTAGCCTTGTGGTAAGTGGTTCCCTTCGTACCCTCATTCCCACTCCTTCCTGGACAACAAATGGAATAGTGGTTACTGTCTGAGTATTGTCCCACCCATTTGCTTGCCTTAGAATTACAGAGCCATGGGGGAGGGGGCAGGGAAGCTGGACCTCAGTACAACTCCCAATATGATGAGTGTGAGATAGAAAGCCTGGACTCTAGGACTGTCTGAAAGTCTCACAGTTGATACTCTGTGTTGGTTTTGGTTTGGTTTGGTTTTTCTCATTAAACAATAATATATATTTTTTTGCAAGAAAAATATTTCTTTATTGTATCATCTATTAACAGGATGAAGATTGAAATCAATTAGTAAAACAGGAGGCACGTGAACACTACTAAATGCTATTAAAGTAATTGAAACCTGGGGTGATATCTTTTTTATTTTTATTGAAATTTTGTATATTTAATATACAACAACTTAATCATCTGTATACCCCCTTTCACATTAGCACACTCCCATATCCCCCCCCCCACACACACACACACTGGAGTTCAGGCTTTCTGTCATTTCTGTTAAGGCCTATCCAGTCAAGTTAATTGTCCCTAGATGTCCCTCAGCGCAAGTTCACCCACTGGGGTCTAGTCAGCCTATCTAGAGTCACTCCCTTAAAGAAGATCAGCTCTTCTTCACCTAGCAGTAATCAGCTGCCCAGTAATTCTTTGGCAAAGATTGGGATCTACTGTCCATTCCCACAGTTCTATGCCGGGTTTTGTCTGCTTGAGTTTACATGAGTCTTGCGTGCTGTCACCATTGCTGTAAGTTCATATGAGCAGGGTCCCAGGTAAGACTCATGCACCTCCTCCCTGCTGCACCTCCTCCCTGCTGCACCTCCTCCCCTGCTGCACCTCCTCCCCTGGCTCTTACAGTCTTTCCGCCCCCTTTTTTGCAATGGTCCCTGAACCCTGAGTGGTGAACTATAATATAGGAGTTCTGTCCAAAGACCCACACTCTGCAGACTTATTCTCTGCACTTTGGTCATTTGTGGCCCTTTCTGTTCATTGCCGTCACCTATTTTAAGATGTATTCAGTCTTTCCCTTTGAAGCATCTGCTGAGGCCTGTTCCCACACTCTGTGGCTCCATGTGTTCCTCTCTTCCTGCCTTCTACTGTTCATTCAGCTGCCTGAATTCCTAAGGACAGGGTATGCTTGATATACCCTGTTAGGTGGGAATTCTGATGGAAATCGCCCCCAAATATTTCTTTTTGTAGCTTAGACTATTATGTATAATTTGAGTTGCTGCAAATTTTACATGGTTAAAGATCTTAAGAATATTCTTTTTTGAGACAGGAGGGTTTCCCTGTAGCCCCAGCTGGCCTAGAACTTGCTACGTGGACCAGGATGGCCTTGATCTCACGGAGATTTGCCTGCCTCTGCCTCTTGAGTACAGAGATTAAAAGTGTACATCAGTGCATCCAGCAGGAAGCAAGTTTTTAATTTAGATGAATACTTAGATGGCAGCCATTAAATGTGTAGTTAAAAATTAATTTTTTAATGTGCTGGATTAAATTGAAAATCCTAAACTAAACGTCATGAAGCTGACTATGAAAAGCACTTGCTCAGTGGGAGAGAGAAGCTTTCAGATGAGCTCAGTGATAGGATGGTGTCCTGAAAGTAGGGTCGTCATGACTACCCGCTTAGACCCCATACCATTTGGAGCAGCATTGTCAGAGGGAGGTTACAGTTAGTGTATGAAAGTCTGGCTCTTTCCTTATGTCTGGTTCATTTCTACAGCAGTCTCTGGAGTCCTCTGCAGACAAAGCCACAAGGCTAGAGTACAGAACATTTCAGAAAGGCAAATTTTAGTTGAATGTAAATTAGGATAATAGTTTTTTGAAAAATTTGTGTGTATGTATGTGTATACTGGCATACCCACTGTGCACATGTGGAAGTTATAAAAGTGAGTTCTTTCCCTCTAACATGTGGGTCCCGGGGATCAAACCCAGACTTGGTGGCAAGTGCCTTTTACCCATTGAATGATATTGTTAGTCCAAGGATAATAAAGTGGCTGCAATTATCCCCCCCAAATGAAACTGGAGCACACTGGATATTGGTGGTCACCTCATGATAAACCTGTGTTATTGGGCATATTGTAGCAGTGGGTGTCTTCCAGGCAAGGCAAATCCATCTAGACCTGGAAGAACCCACTCAGTGCCATGATTCTCAGAGGTGGGCTCCACATCACATTGTAAAAGGCAAATGACAGCTGGGTGTGGTGGTGCATGCCTTTAATGGGAGGCAGAGGCAGGTGGATCTCTGTGAGTTCAAGGCCAGCCTGGTCTATGTAGTGAGTTCCAGGACAGCTGGGGCTACCTTGTTTCAAAAAGACACCCTCCCAAAAAAAAGGCAAATGACATGGAACCCAATAGGAGTTGAAATAATTTGTTTAGGATGTTTAACCCACATGTAGAAAGAGATTATTACACAGCTTTATGATACAGCTTTGGCGTCTTTGGTTTTCTGATGCTATGAACAAATTTGTCAATCCAAGAAGCTGCCTATTGTATTTTCTTGTTAGAGGAAGAAGAAAAAGAATTCTTAGTTTAAATAGTGTTGAATCAGGAAACTAGTCCCTTAAAGAGGCTTTGTTTTTAAATTTATGTTATTCTAGGAAGGAGAAAGATTTGTTAACCAAAGGTAAGAAGTGTGTGGTTTGTGATTAATTAGGCTTGCCTTTGAACAAATTTTAAATAGTTCCTTACCTGCCTCAAAGTTGTTTTTCATTGCTTCTTTAAGTTTTTGTTTTAATGATTGTCTTAGTTTCTTTTTTTAAGGATTTATTTATTTTTATTTCATGTGTATGAGCGTTTTGCCCGCATGTATGTACCCATGTATGCAGTGCCTGAGAAGGCCAGAGGAGGATATCAGATCCCCTGGAACTGGAGTTATGGATGGTTGTTAGCCACTATGTGGTTGCTGAGAGCTGAACCTGGGTCCTCTGCAAGAACAACCAGTGCTCTTAACCACTGAGCCATCTCCAGCTCCATCTTAGTTTCTTTTCCTCTTGTGATACTCTGATAAAAGCAACTTAAGGGAGGAAAAAGTTTATTCTGACTCACAGCTCAAGGTAGAAAAGTGAAAGGGGCAGGAGCTTGAAGCAGCTAGTCACACTGAATCTACAATTAGGAAGCAGAGAGCATTGTGCATACATGCTGCTCCACAGTCCAGGACCCCATCCCGGGAACGGTTCCGCCCAATAGTGAGTGAGCCATCCCACCTCAGTTAATACAATCAAGATAATCTGCTGCACTAACCATCACAATTATGTTATGGTTTTTTTTAAAAGAGTAGAAGATTACTATAAAATTTCAAATTAAAGCCAGGTGTGGTGGCACACACCTGTAGTCCCAGCACTGTGAGGGGAGGCAGAGGCAGGTGTATCTCTGTGAGTTCAAGGCCAGCCTGGTCTACATAGTGAGTTCCAGGCCAGCTGGGGCTACAGGGAGACCCTGTTTCAAAAAGACAAAAAAAAAAAAAAAAAAAAAAAAAAATTAAATTAGTATAAGCATAGATGAAAGAGAATGCATATACCAACTGTTAATGAGAATCATCTCTGATTAATAGAATTATATGAATTTTCCCCCCACTTTTTTTTTTTTAAACAAGCAGTGCTCTGTGGCCCACATTTTAAAGACTAGTTGTATACTACTTTTGCAACCAGAATCAAAGTTTTATTTTAAGCTCTTGTTAGTGGCTGGTTGAAGGATTGTTTTCCCCAGAGTAGGGCTCTTGCCATTGCTGTCTGTCACTTCTGACCCCTTTACTCTTTGTAGGGGGATTTGACGAACCTTGTGCACGGAAGCCACTGTTCTAAATACCGCCTGGCGAGGATCCCAGGAACCAATGCGTTTGTCGGCATTGTCAACGAGACTTGTGACTCTCTTGCTTTCTGTGCTTGTAGCATGGTGGACCGTCTCTGTCTCAACTGCCACCGGTAAAGATCCAGCGGATGGGATTCTGTCCACTGAACTGTTTAATATTTTTCCAAAGCCAGGCATTTTGAACAGATGTGGAGGGAGCTCTCTGAGGAAAGAAAGTATGGGTTACGGAAGCATTCAGAGCTCTGTTCCCAGTTCATAAGACTGTAGATTAAGGCAAAGGGCTTTTTTATAACTGGCAAAAGGCTTGTTTATCTTAATTCACTAGTGCATGTACAGTGTACTGTTGGCATCTATCTCTGCCTAGTAACTTTCTCTTCACTTTTCAGAATGGAACAAAACGAATGTGAATGTCCTTGTGAGTGCCCCCTAGAGGTTAATGAGTGCACTGGCAATCTTACCAATGCAGAGAACAGGTAAATGCAGATGAATGGATGGATGGGTGGATGAATAGATAGATAGATAATAGATAGGCAGGCATATGTATATATATGTATATATGATCTCCATAACATGGTGTCTCATAAATTTGTTTTGGATTAGAGTACACAAAATTGATTTGTTCTAATGATGAACCTAGTCAGTAAGCTAAATTTCTAAATTTCCACAATGATGTCTGCTTTGCGGGTTTTTTTTTTTTTTTATGTGCTGTAAAATGTCAAGAGTGTATATGTTATGTTAAAAACCGTATGAGGGGCTAGGGAAATGGCCCAGTGGATAAAGCACATGTGCTCACTCATGACACAGTGTTACATATCTTTATTATCAATAAACTCTTAATAATTGTGATAGGTGTTTTTCCTGGAACTCAAAGGAAATAGTATTTTGTGTATATGTACCAATATAGTATATAAGTTTAGACACAGACAAAAGTGTCTAAAAGAACTCTCATGAAACTATTAACAGTGGTTACCCCAGAAAAGTTAGACTGAGGATTATGAACACAGGTTGAACATATTTTTGGCTTTACAAATTTCTGTTGTGTTGAATACTTATGATTTCATGTACTTATATGCACACATTATTTCTATTGTACATAAATGTCAACAAATTAAAGCTTAGAATAGTTAAATGACTGACCCAAACTTTCCCTGAGTAGCAGAGTCTAGATTCAAACTCAAATCCGTCTGACCCTATAAAGGACCTGGTATGTTTGGAATGTGGGTAGTGTTGCTCCTAACTTCCAGACTTACTTCCTGCATAGAAATCCAAGCTGCGAGGTCCACCAGGAGCCAGTGACATACACAGCTATTGACCCTAGCCTGCAAGATGCTCTGCACCAGTGTGTGAACAGCAGGTGCAATCAGAGGATGGAAAGTGGGTAAGAAACCTAGCTCAGAAGAGCATCCATCAGCCCCACTCAGCTCCTGTAGCCAGTGCTGACAGCCCCATTCTTTTTTGTTTTGGTTTGATTTTTGAGAGTCCAGTTCCCTGAAGTCCCAGCTGGCCTGGAATTCAGTATGTAGATCAGGCTGGCCTCAAACTCATAGAGGTCTGTCAGCCTCTGCCTCTCAAGTGCTGGGATTAAAGGTGTGCAACAACACCAAGCCAGGCTTATAGTCACATTCCTGATACTTTAAAGATCTATCAGTTTTTCAGGTATGACACAAAGTTCCATAAGGCTCTTGTCCCCCAGTTTAAAAGATTATTCAATTCCTACTTGTTACAGCTGTTTGACATTTGTGGCATAGGCTAAAGGCCTCATCTGTAGGTGGGAAAGTTGTTTTTGAGATAAGGAAAGTACAGGCCTAGAGAGATGGCTCAGCAGTTAAGAGCACTGGCTGTTCTTGCAGAGGACCTGGGTTCAATTCCCAGCACCCACATGGCAGCTAACAATCATCCAGAACTCCAGTTCCAGGGAATCCGATGACCTCTTCTGACCTCCACAGGCATTGCACAACATGGATGCACTTACATACATTCAGGCAATACACTCATTTACATAAAATAAAACTAATAAATTACTTTTAAAAAGAAATAAGGAAAGTGTGGGAATGTTACAAAGGAACAGGATCTCCTAGGATTCAGAATAGGACTCAGCCTTCAAAGGTCTCTGCCTAGTATTTCAAACTTCATTCATTTTCATTTCTTAGAAAGCAGATCTGCTTCTAGTTTTGAAAACTAAAAGCTCTGTGACTCTGCACTGTCTGCACGTCCCTCTAGGTGTTTTAGACTAGGATCATGGGAGCAATGGGTATGGCACATCTCTGGGGAAGGGGAGATTAGTTCACACTAGCTGCCAATTGCTAGGTGACGGGGACAAGTGAGGGCACAGAGGGGATAGGCAGCCCTGCATTTGGTGTGAACCTTAGCAGAGGAAAGGGTTGCCATCATGCTGATGAACTTACATACTTAGTACCCCACTTCAGTTGAGGGATCGCTGTGCTGTTGTCTTCTCTTGAGAGGGTCATTATGTATGTGATGCATTAAAAACTCCAAAAAACTGGCAATAAGGAAATCCCTTTCAACCAGCCTAGTATTTCCTAAACATACTTGGCTATGATTTCCTTCCTTTTTAAAAAACATAATGACCACACATATGGGGTATGGTAGACCACAACCTCGCAAACCTCAGGACCATTTCTCTTTGATCTTTTAAGATTTTTTTTTTTTTTTGAACACGGCCACACTAATCCACATAGTGTGGAAGTTGTAACATTACTCACATAGAACAGTTAAACTGATCAAGAGGCACAAAGCAGCCATCCCCGCCAAATGACTGCTCTCCCCATTTTTCAAGGAAAGGAACCTGGAGGACAGTTGTTCAGAGTACTAGTAAGCAATAGAACCCTAGAGCTATCTGATGCCCAGGCCTGCTTCCCCCTACTCGATGCTTTCTGGAACACAAAACATTGTCTGTCCGGCAGGGACTGTTTCGGTGTGCTGGACTGTGAATGGTGCATGGTGGACAGTGACAGAAAGACTCACCTGGACAAATCCTACTGTGCACCCCAGAAGGAATGTTTTGGGGGAATTGTGGGAGCCAAAAGTCCCTACGTTGATGACATAGGAGTCATAGGTACGTTTATTGGTAACCCACAGTGAGTTGACCCTTGAATGCAATTTTCTTACCTTTATACTGGGACAGAAATCTTAGCCCTGTGCCCAACTTCCCTGATTCCTTTGCCAGTTTTCAAACCCAGGCAGATAATTACATACTCTGTGCAAAAACAGTGAGCAACCAACCATGCTGCCAAATTGTGCAAGCCTGGAATTCATTCCCATAAAGCTTATTCTGAGAAACTCAGGCCTGATTTCTGCATGGCTAAACTCTGGAGGCTGCTTGAATGTGTGCCCCAGCTGTCAGAAGCACAGAGTCAGTGGTATGCAGAATATCTCCTCACGTCTCTATCACCCATCCTGAGGCTTTCCCTCCCCCTGTCCTCACAACCTTTATAAGGTAGGAGTCTTACAGCTCCTGTTTAGGGGTAAGTAGACAGTAGAGCTAATCAGTGTTACTATGGCAATTTAGAGAAGGGGACAAGGAAACCATAAGGAGGAAAGCCACACATCCTTGACAGTGCTATTAAGGAGACTATATTTCTCATTAGGTATTTTTTTCAGCATCTTCCTAGAATTAGTACTATGTCTTAATTCTTAACTGGCATGTGAGTCATATTTAAGCCTTTAATTAATATAGGTGCTTCTCAATTTGGGATACATTTATGGCCCCATAAACCTATCATAAGTTGAAAACACTCTTAATACACCCAGCCTGCTGAGCACTATAGCTTAGCAACACAGTGCATTGTGCCAGTTATTTAACCGTTGCAAACCCATGGTTGGCTGGGCGCTGCAGGCCCTGCCATTGCAAGGCATTGAGAGAGAATCCTACCATATACCACAAGCCCAGGAAAAGATTCAGACTCCAAAGTCAGTACAGTTGCTACTGAATTTACATTGCTTCCATATCATCATAAAGTTGAAAAATCTGAATCAAATAATCATAAATTAGGGACTATATCTATCTTGCTTTTTATCGTCTGCATGATAGCCTGTCGGGAGGAAGAAAAGCTCATCTTTGGGGGAGGGTTCTGAGCTCTTACGTTATGGCTGAACCAGGTGAGAGCATAGTTGACACAAATGTACTCCAAAAAGTCATTTTCTATGCCTACCTGCAGTTTCCTAGTTGGGAGTGCACGTCAGACATGCTTTTAAAGAAAACCCACAGACTCTGCAACTTGGACTGTTGAAAGCAGATTTCCTGAACTTCTTATCCTTTATTTCAGTGGGTTGTTCACATGTGCCCCAAAGAAGCCCACAAACCTCGTCACCTCCCTCTACCAGGTGGTGTTTCCTCTTCCCAGAGTAGCTAGGACTGTCCACGCAGGGCACTGCTTATGTTAGTAGTTTTCATCCGCTCGCTTTCTGCAGCAGTATCTTCATTTGTGCGCTTGCTGTCTAGCAAGCAACATTTGAGAACCAGGAATTAACGAAGCTTCTAATCCTGCGTTCTGCTGGTTCTTTGCGGAGTCAGCAGAGATCAGCACAACTGTTCTCCAAAACCCACCCTGCTCTGGTCCTTCCCATCTCACCATCCTCCCTCCATCCTCACCTCCCACCATACTTAGGAGATCTTGACATGGAATGTCTGTTTGTTCATCTTCTGAAGGTGACGAGGTGATCACACTAAACATGATTAAGAGTGCTCCCGTGGGTCCTGTGGCCGGAGGGATCATGGGCTGTATCATGGTGCTGGTCCTTGCCGTGTATGCCTACCGCCACCAGATTCATCGCCGCAGCCACCAGCATATGTCTCCTCTCGCTGCTCAAGGTGAGTGTAGGCAGCCTCCCTCCAGTTGTTCCAAAGGTCTGAACCTCTCAGAAATTGTAAGAGGAGGGTAACATCTGTATTACTTTAGAATCATTTCAGAAGTCCCCTCCAGACTGTTCATTTGTGCCTAAACTCTGCACAGCTGCACACCCCATTTTGATTCCCCAGAAAATCTGACTTCAGTAATCTTAGAAGCCTCTTCAACTGCCACTCCCTTCATGGCCTAAATCTACCATAAATTAAGTTGGGGAGCTGGGGTGCTGTGAGAGACTATGGGTCAATGTGCTGCCCTTGCAAGTCTCAACACAGACGAATCAGAAACACCCCGGATCATCAATGCTGGGAATACAAATAAATTCTACTGCATCTCTATTCCAAACTGTGAACGATCAAGGTGGCACAATCACATTTCTTAATAAAGGATGAATCATCAAAGCCAAATACAGAATTAACCTCTACTCAAGTGTTAAGTCTGCTATCTGTGCTCATCTGAAGAGAGGAAAACCCAGGGATCTGTCAACCTGGCTTTTATGGAGGTCACCTTAACTTCCGTTCTGGCCGGCTGCTTAGCCTTGAAGCAGTCATGACAGGTCGAGGTAGGTTACACCTCTGAGTTAGCAGCAGGGACAGTGACAGAGCATCTGCCTTTGGCTAGACGAAGGATGACTGTCGTTCGGTGTTGCCATTTCTTTCTTCACACTCACTTTCCAATGTGTCTGGATTCTTCACTTTTTATTCTCCCTTTCATTCCTGCTGCCTCTTCCCAAAAAACAGAGGACGAAGGCACCAGCTTGTTGGCTTCTTCCTAGATGGACTTACTCTTTGTTTCTTTTGAGGGCCTGGGAATCGAACCCAGCACGTGTAGAGCAAGCATTCTACCCCTGAAATCACACTTTCACTCTTGATGAAATGCTGTCACCCAGCCATCAAACCAACGCTCAGTGGGGATTAAAGCCTGTGATTTTGTTTGATTAAATAGTCATGTTTCTCTTTTTTTAACAATGGGTAGAAATGTCAGTGCGTATGTCCAACCTGGAGAATGACAGAGATGAAAGAGACGACGACAGCCACGAAGACAGGGGCATCAGTGAGTACTCTGCTGCCTCCCGCAGCCTGTGTCAGCAGGAGGCTAATCCAAAATAAATATTCTTTCTTATGTCCTTTTGGCTTGTATTAAAATTTAAGAAGCTTTGACATGGTGAATTTTTTTCCTTCCTTTTTTCGTTAGGATTAAGTATGGGTCTCTGCTTCGTTTTGGAATAACTCAAAAGCCTGTCTTTCTTTTTCTTTTTTTGACATTTTGCATTAAGTTATTTGGCCTCTAGCTGCTCCTCTCCTCCATGACTTTCCAGCATGCTGTTTTAGAAATGGAAGTTTCTAGCATCTATTTCTATAGTTCCTTAAGTAGTATATGTAACTTAGGAAAAAAGAACATTTTGTTTTCCAAAAGAGAGGTCTGTTGATGTTGAGGTCCCTGGTCCCCTAGAATTTGACCTCCCGATGCACGCTGGAAAAATAACTAGTTGGATGTCTCTCTCTGAGGCAGCCGGTCACCTCCCTCATCTTCAGAAGTTTTAAAAAGTATTTATTCTGGCTCTTCAAAGAATAACTCCCCCAACATGTGACTGAGCATGCTCAGAACAAGGGGAGGTTGAAGCGATGAAGGTGCTGGCTCAAGGGTGACATAAACTCTCCTTGACTTCCCACAGTCAGCAACACGCGGTTCATAGCCGCCGTCATTGAACGCCATGCACACAGTCCAGAAAGGCGACGGCGCTACTGGGGCCGCTCAGGAACTGAAAGTGATCATGGTAAGGCCTGGTTTCCTGCATTTGAGGACCTTGGGCGCCTGGTCTACTATGGGATGATGGGCACATTCTTCTCTCCCTCTCTCCAGTACTGTCGTAAGTTAATTCTTTTGATATAGTTTCCCCCAAAGGATGCACTCAAGCATGACTGTTTAATAAGAGCCTATGCGCAGTTTTCTTGTGTTTGAGTAATCCCAGGCACAAGCTAAATGAAACCTCTGCCACACTGATTGCTTCTAAGTTTTTCTCTATGAAGAAGTGGGGGCTGGAAGATGGCTCAGAGAGTAAAGCAGCCAAGCCTGACAACCTGAGTTCCAGCCATGGAACCCACATGGTTGAAGGAAAGAACTCACTCCTGAAAGTAATCCTCTGACCTCCACACATTCACTGCAGCACACACAAGCACACACCACACATAATTAAATAAATAAGCAAGCGTAACTTGTGAAAGTGTATATTTATCACTTTTGCATAACTGTGACCAAATACCTGACAGAAACAACTGGCTGAGGGAGAGAGGTTCAGTTTTCTTCAGTGACTAGGTCCTTGAGAGCTTACCTAGGGTAAGCCCTAAACACAGGTACATGGGTAGCCCTAAACACAGGTACATGCGAGCCCCACTAAATGAATTCAGTGTGTTATAGCTATCTATCTCAGTGTGTTACAGCTATCATCTATCTGTGTGTGTGTGTGTATTTATGTATGTATTTATATGTACTAATAGTAAAAAAGAGGACAAAAAACTGTGAGGGAGTGGAGAGGTGTGTGGCAGCAGTTGGAGGGGGACTGGGAGGGGTGGAAATAATGCAAATACAATATTCATGAAATTCTCAAAAAAAATTAATTAAAAAAAAGCAATGAGGGGCTGAAGAGATGGAGGGAGGTTAAGAGTGCTGACTGCTCTTACAGAGGACCCAGGTTTGATTCCCAGCACCTACATGGCAGCTAATAACTCCAGTTCCAGGGGAATCTCACACTCTCTTCTGACTTCCACGGGCATTTCATTTCATGGGTACACTTACATGCAGCCAATACACTCATAGACATAAAATAAAAATAATACAGAAAATATTCTTTTTTAAAAAAAGAAATTAAATTTTTTTAGAAAAACAACTGAAGGGAGCAATTATTTCATTTGGTTCATGGTTTAAGGGGTTCCATCTGTAATTGCTTGGTCCCATGCACTTGAGTAAAACAACATGGTGGCAGGAACATGTGACGGAGGACAGTGAGTGAGACAAGAGTGGCCAGAAAAAATAACCCAAGAGCTAGTCCCCAATGACCTGCTTCCTCCGGCCAAGCCTGACCTCCTAAAGTTTCCAGAACCTCCCAAAATAGCGCCACCAGCAGGGGACCAAGCACTCAGACCTTGAGCCTGTGGGGGGCATTTCAAAATCATACTGTCAATGAAGGGTTCATACTGACAATACAGAATTGCAAGCCATGCATCCCCTTAGGTCCTACAATGTAGTATTGCTGGTGGACCAGTGTCAGCATCACCAAAGGTCATGAACAGGAGTCTGGGCTGTCCTCTAGCATTTTCTACTCCTACCCTTGGCCTTGTCTGCGAGGCTCAAAGGCTTTGCTAAAGAAACATTTTCACTGAGCCATAAGGGATGGCTAAGAAAAAGTTAGGAGCCAAGGACACTATTAGAGGTGAAAGAATGATCGTACAAAGCTCCTAAAGTGCAGGAAAGTCAAGACTGGGGAGGCACCGAGTACCAAGTAGATCCGTGTGATGAGGAGTCCACGTGCTATCCCAAAGACTTGCCAAACTGCATGGCCTCCCACCTCAGAGTCACCTTGCTCACTGTCTTGGGGAACAGTGGGTGTGGCCTGATCTGTGAGAGTCCCTGCTGCCATACACAAAAACGGAACAGGAGTGAAAGGAATGTTTAGTTTCTAAAATAGCCATCTACTTTTCCAGACATCTCCCAGAACTAGGTCTTTCTGAAGATATAGATAATTTTTTAAGCTTTTTCTGACTTGGCTTTTTCTCCCTCTATCCTGAAAGAAGAAGAAAAAAAAAACCCTTCAAACAATGTGTTTCTGTTTGTACGCAGAAAGCACAGGAGTGGTATTCCTCCAGCACCTGACGTCCCTTTGACCCTGCTGCAGGGGAACAGGCTCCCTTAGGAAAATGGGAGAAGCTGCTGCTCAGCCTGGTAAACCCCAGACTGTTAATTGGGCTTTGAATGACAGTTTCTACCAACTAAATAGAATCTTTGGGTTTCTGTGGAGAATCAAAGAAGAACTCACATTTTTTTTCAGTTTCTTGGCTTCCTGGCTTTTTTGCACACACACACACACACACACACACACACACACAAAACCTTTGAACCTACATAAAATCCTTCCACTAGGCAAATCTGTGCCTTCTCCTTTGAATAATAAAGCAGGTTTGGGCCTACTAAAGTTCATCTGGCATCATTTCTTATTCAGCAGAAATACTCCTCAGACTCTCCTTTCTCCCATGGCATCCATATCAAATTGGGTTGGGGATGACCGAGGTTCTGTCATCCCTCCCATTGTCTTAGAGAAATGGCATCTGAAGCAACAGCTTAAGCAAAATGAAAGGTACCACGCCTGCTACCTGAGACCCTGGGAATCTAGCAAAGGACTTGCTTGCTTTCTCTCATTTTTCACAATAACTAAGTCCCTGTTCTCCCCAAGGAATAAACAAAAGTTTTTCATGCAGACAGAACACACCACCAAAGGAAGAAGAAGGTATTGATGCCCCACAGGTCCCAATTGCATCAAAATCAGTGAAGTTTATCTGTATGCCGTCATATCCTTGAACCTGTACAGGTCACCATAGTGACCCATTAAGTTAATGTCCCTGTTATGTGGACAGGATAAAGTCTCCATGTGTATTAAAGGAGGAAATCTAATCCAATTGTTGTCAACACAGTTCTGGGTATTCTGCAGTACCGTGCTTGTGTTGGGCATGTGCTAGGTGCCAGGGACTGTGGAGGGGATGAGCGAAGCAGCTGGCTGTTTCCTTTGAGCAGGGCAGTGTAAGGGAACAAGGACAGGGACAAGCTCCACTTCAGAGTCCATCACTTCGCCTCCTTGGTTTTTTTAACCAGCTGTTGAGACCCCTTAGTTAGCGTCTGTAGCTCTTAGTTTCCTAGTTCTTAAAAGTAGGATTGCTGGGTGTGTTGACACACACCCTTAATCCCAGCACTCATGAGGCGGAGAAAGGCAGAGCTCTGTGAGAGTGAGGCTAGCCTGGTCTACATAGTAAGTCCCAGGCAGGGAGACCAAAAATAATTTTTTTGTTCTACCTGGTAAAGTTATTAAGTGTGCTAACATGATAGGAGCATGGAGCTCAGGCTTACCCAATGTGCCTCACCCAGCCATGAAGGTATTTACACTGGGAGGAAACCATACATGAATGCATGTGTTCATGAGACTGATGGAAGGTGGAATGAGACAGATTCTTTAGAGGTGTGACAAAGAAAAAGAGAAAAGAGCGGTCACACCTATCTACACGCAAATGGAAGCCCCGGGGAGGATGATCCTGAGTTGATAGGATATCAATGCCAGGCGTCTGTGCTGCTGAGAGAGCGCTTCCTCCAGAATCCTTGAGACTGATCCATAAGCTCGAAGCATATTAATATATGACAGCTAAAAGACTACGCCTATAGTAAGTTGCATAGTGACGTTCCTAGAGTGAGAGCCTGATCTTACTAAACTAAGCATGAAAACTTAACACTGCTTGTTTATTTAGAAATAGTTTAGGAGACTGTGCTTTGAAAAATAAAGTCTTTTTTTTCTTCAGTGCTGGAGATCAAAATTGGCCTGGCACATGACTTTGAAAAACCTGGAACTGAGTTACAAACAGTTGTTAGCCACCATGTGGGTGCTGGGAACTGAACACAGGTCTTCTGCAAGAGCAGCCAGTGCTCTTCACCATTAGACCATCTCTTAAGCCCCCTTTTTAGTTTAAAAAAAAATTATTTTTTCCCAGCTTCATTTTGTCAGTGATCTAAGATGACTTAGAGTGTGTGTTTGTCAGCCAATGTTAGACCCCTAAGTAAACTGCCAAACATCCTTTTAGCCAGGCATCTGCCTTATCTCCTGTTTCTCTTGAAGATATCAAGCTCTATCTGATCATCTACTGACTTAAAGTTTTAAAATGCCAGCATATGTTTAGTTGCTCCTTGTGAATTTATATTTTAGTTACCACCTCATCAGAAACTTTATAGCCAGGTGGGAAGGATCATTGGAAATTCGATGCTAGCCTGGGCTACAGAGTGCCATGCTGGAGGGGTAGGGGCAGGAAGCCTTATGAATCTATGCATTGAGAAACATTTCCTTCTTTGAAAAGGGGAATCCCCCTCCCCCATCCTTGACACATACCAAAATACTTAAAAGGCAAATGTTGAACTTTGAACACCTAGTCAAAAGTAGGCCGTGTTCTGAAAGTAGCCATGTAGCCTCCTGCAGTTGCTCTCAGTAGCCACAAGATGGTATATGAGTCTCTGAAGGGACCTAGCATCCTCCCAAGCAGCAGTCTCTCAGAAACTGTCATGTAAACACATAAACAGAATGCAAAGTCCTGAAGCCTGTTTCCCACTTGAGACTGTCTTTGCAGACACTTTTCTACATAGGCCCATGGAAGGGAATGTTTCTTTTGAAGCAGCTGCCAGATGACCTTTGTGTCTAAGTAGTACTTGCCCTCCACAGTCGGCGACCCTCTCTGTTGTGGTGATTCATCAATGTTCTGGGTGCTCAGCACAGTTGCCTGGCCAACAAGCAAATGGGTAATTTGTTGAATGACAAAATGTATTTGTGGGCTGGGGAGATGGCTCCACGGGACAGAGCTTGCTGCACAAGCATTAGGACCTGAGTTTTGATCCTCAGAACCCACATAAAGCAGTAGCACACATCTATAATCCCCATGCAGAAGACTTCCCCAAAAGCTTGTGAGCCAGCTAGCCTGGTATCCACAGCAACAGAAAGAGACCCCGACTCAAAGTCAGGGGAAAGGACCAACACAGCAAGTTGTCCTCTGGCCTCCACACATGTGCACACTCACATGTTCCTACCGCATTCAGATTTCCATTCATCTAATAAATAAGAGAAAAGTATGGAGTAATTGAGCAATACCATCTGAACTCGTTTTTTACCACTGTGGCTAGTACTTGAGAGAAACTGCTTTAAAAGAGTAAAGCTTTATTTGGGCTTAGAGATTCAGAGGTGTCATCCATGACTGGCTGGCTGTGCTGTTTCTGGGCCATGATAAGTCAGAACATGATGGCTGCTGGGCATAATGGAATAAAGATGCTCACTTCATGATGACCAGAAAACAGAGAAAAAGACAGGAAGGGGCCAGGGCAAGATACTTCTTTCCAGGCTGTGCCTCTGGCCACATACTTACCCTAGGCCCAACTTTCTGGTGCGGCCACCTCCCACTAATTCTGCAAGGTTTGAATCTACCAAGGGACTGATCCACTAATGAGGGTGGCACCCCCCCAGCACAGGAGACTGCAGGGGACATCTCAGATTCTAATCCTAACAGTATCTAATGAGGCAACTAATTAAATGACCATAGTGTAAGGTTTTACTTTGGAAAGACCTAAAAGGGCTCTCATCAGAAAGCAGTAAAAGAAGAAATGGAGGTTGCCTGGGAAACAGCCACATCACCACTACCACTCTGAGTAATCCCCCATCTGTGTGACTGGCCAGGTTCAGAGCATCACTGGACTCCAAAACCCCAAGGCAGGATCAAATGGATTGCCTAGTCTTCCTCATAATATGAGAGTAGTCAGTGCCATACCAGGCAAAGTCATAGGCAACAGAAAACTCACTGACACTCTTGCTTGGGGGGTGGTCGTATGTGAGGGCTTTCACGTATGCTTTGACAGTATTAGGGATTGAGCCTAAAGCCTACTAAGCAAGGCTCTACTGATGAGCTATCTCCTCAGTCTCCTTTTTTTAAATTTTGAAGCAGGATCACTCTAAGTTGCCAAGGTTGGCCTTGAACTCATTCTGTAGCCCAAGCCAGCCTTGAACCTGCAGCCCTTCTGCCTCGGTTTCCAAGTAGCTGGGTTTGCAGACCTGTGCCTCCAGGCCTGCCAGGTTCTTTGCTTTCAAGTGCCTACTTTGTGTAAGGCACTGTGTGAAATACTAAAAGTCTAAAGATAGCAAATAAAGAATTGTCTTGCCAGACATGTTGTGAGCACATATAATCACAAGCCTGATGGCAAGTGGGGAGGGCAGGGCGGTGGCCAGGAAGTCTTCCCAAAGAAGACCTAAAGCACTGTGATGCATGAAGCATAGCACAGGATCAGGGAAGGTACATGCTTATGCCAGGTGTGTTAAATGAGTGATCAGCTACCATAGTGTTTGTAAATGAGCAGAGTATCACCTGAGCAGTGTTTGAATGATGAGCCCAGATACAGGCTTCACTAAACTCTAGTTTCTACTGACCTCCTTAACGTATATAAGTTGGGGTGGTTCAGGCACATGTAGCACTTTATAACCAGTTTCAGAGCCTCACATTCAGTCTCACCTTGTAGGCTTAGCCCTGACAGAGGTATCAAGCTGAGAATTTTACGTCTGTTTCCTATCTCTTAAGCTTCAAAAGATTGCTGTTTCCCCAGCCTCTGGATCATCTCCAAGGATGTCAGTGTCCCCAGCCCCTTCACCTGGAACATCCATTTGATGTTCTGCTCTGCCCTGGTACAAACTCTTGATGCCAGCTGCTCACCCCATTTCCAAACACACCTACTATCCCACCTGAAGGGCCTCAATACCCACTTGAGGCCGGGACTCCAGCCCCCGTCCTCTGAGCCGCCCCCCTTCTGTCCAGGCTCCATTGGCATCTGCCCACTCTGAGTGCTTGTCACTAAATCCCAGCAGCTTCGACCAGCCATCTCGGGCTAGCCCTGGCCTGCCTACCCAGTAGCTGTTGTTCTAAGCCGTTGCACGTGCCTGTGCCCTTCCAGCAGCACCTTCCATCATTACCAAGCCAGTCTCTCTTTCTCCCAGGAGGGTCACCTAAGTACCACCTCCTTATGGATCTAAGCCCCGTTCACCAACTTTTTGGTGTGCCTCTGTTTCAGCACCTGTGGGTACCCTTGATTGGGCCTTCTAAGGCCTTCCTTCTTTCTCTGGCCAGCACCTAGCCTGGCACCTGCACCAGGGTGTGCTCAATGACTCCAGCACGTGCAATGGTGAGCCCTACCACTCTGACTTTGCCCAAGCCACATCTGCTGCTCACTGACTTCACGCATGTGCCCCAGGCCCTCAGAATCAAGATTGGCCGAAACAAGCTATGCTTTCCTGAGATTCAGGGTCTCCAGATCTCCTCTGCCATCATCCTGACTCAAAGTTATACTCAGATCCTTTACCCCTCACCAGACGACTGCTTATACCTGTTGCTTAGCAACCTCTACAGTTTGCCCAGTCCTCCTCCCCCAATTTTAATTCTTTATCCCTCGTGGATCTGTTGTAGTAACCTCCCCACTTTCCTCTTTGTTTTACCCATCCTCCAAACTGCCACTAGAACGCTGAGCACATTGACCATGATAGGCCATTTGCAGGGAAATCTTGTACTGGTTTCCTACTCCAGCGTGGGCATCATGATCTGACTTTAATTTACCTCGGCACTTCTTGCCTGCCCTGTTCCCCAGCTACCTGTTAACACACATCCAAACCACATAGTACAGAAATAGCCTCACAGCTCCAAGCTTCTGGGGCTAGTCTCCTATTTCTTGGCTCCCATCCACTTACCAAACTCCCTTTGCCCATTTAAACCCAACTGAAAATACGAGTTCTGTGGTAACACTTCCTTGTTCCCTTAGTCAGCATTAGTTAATCGTTCTGGATTTCAATAGAACCTCAGCCATAGCACGTAGTAGTATCTACACTAGAGAAGTATCTGTCTTCTACTCAGTTTTAGTTGTTAGGAAAGAGTGAGATGGCTATTTGACTTGCCATCTGGCCCTCCAACACATACGGTCTGCAGTAATGAATGCTTGAATGACTTTTGCTTTTGTTTTTGTTGTTGTTGTTTTCTTAATGTCTCAGACCCTGGCTTCTGCAGGACCACGTTTTTATCTGGATGTTATCTCCACCCAGTACCCAACATAGTGACTTGAGCCTAGGAGATGCCCAATACATATCTGTTGCACTGGACTATTAAATAATTCTGTCAGTTGAGTAATGTTTTATTGAGGACGTAGATCGCCTTTCTCACTGTTGCACAGAGAATACATTTCCAACCACACACTGCTCCTGCTTGGCTGAATGCAAGCATATCACTTTTGCAGCCACAGATGTGACTAGCACTTAGCCTCAGGTGAGGGCTGATTGACACTGACGTGTAGGGAATCTATTAACGAGCTGTCACTTCTCAAAACGTTTAAAGGAGATTTTTGTTTGCAATATTTAAAAACATGCCAAGGTTCTTGGAATGGAGTCCTTTGATCAACAAGAGCATTTTCTTTTGAAACATGTATTACTTAGAATATTGAAAGAAATTAATCTTTAAACATGGTGAGCCAGCTTACACAGAGAATAGTTGATTCTGCTCTAGTTGCTCTGGATACATGGGAAGTTGTATTTCATTAGATACTAGAACCTTGGGCAAGTTCCTGCTCTTCTCTGCACCACCCCCCATCCTACAGTGGGCATTAAGAGCCTCACTGGTATGCCACAATCACCAACCTGTGTGCCTGCTCTGGGTATTATATATGAGGGCCGTGACTGGCTCTGTCCTAACTAACACGGCATGAGCATTTCATTGCTCAGTGTTTCCTGCCAATCCCAACCTGCGTGCATCCTGTTCATATCTTCCTTTTGAAGCTGCCCATTGCCTACTTTAATGAATTTAAACATAGGAGGAAAGTTTCATCTTACTCTCTGGAAGAAGTGTAGGAGGACTGTGAAGAGGGGTACCTACGGATCATGTTGCAGCAGATGTCAGCAGCAAAGTGTCAGGCAGACAGGAGTACCTCTCAGCATCCTACACAATCTAGTCTGTGTCCTGAGGTTCTGTGTTGATCTCTTTCTAGGGTACAGCACCATGAGCCCACAGGAAGATAGCGAGAACCCTCCGTGCAACAATGACCCCTTATCAGCCGGGGTTGACGTTGGAAACCATGACGAGGACTTGGACCTGGACACCCCTCCTCAGACTGCAGCCCTGTTGAGTCACAAGTTCCACCACTATCGTTCACACCACCCCACCCTCCATCACAGCCACCACCTGCAGGCAGCGGTGACAGTGCACACGGTGGATGCAGAGTGCTAACAATTCCCCCACCTCCGTGAGCAGAGGAGCCCTGCTGGGAGATGCAGAATGTTCCGAGAGGAAATGAGCCAGTATAAAATTCAAAACAGGAGACCCTTCACATCTGCGTTTGTCCGGTGGTTTAATAGATTTGTTGCCTGTTGGCATGTTTAAAAACAGACACCACAAAGTCCCATTCGTGAGCATCTGAAGCTGGTTCTGAAATGGAGGGGGAAAAGCCTGATTAATGGACCTGCCATAGTGCTAATGGAATTGGAATCCAAGGCGAACCTCCAAACAGAGACGCCACGTGTAAATGAAGCTGAGCCAGAGGCATGTTCCCAGGAGCCGGAATCACTCAACTCCCTTAACTGGAAGAGAGGAACGTCTGCTGAAGCCGAAGCCGGGAATGTGGCACACCAGACACCACCAGATGCCACCACCTGCTAGACTGACACGCTCTGGCTTCCAAACGGTACCTGGTCACCACCATAGCTGAATGGAACTACCTTAAGCTCTAAATGATGCATCTCAAAATTTCTAAGTAAAGGATTATTTTTCTACTATTTATTGAACTTGCAAACATTCTCAGACTTTAGGGGAAAGGACACAGGAGAAATTCTCAGCAGTTAACCCTAGCTATTGTGTGTGATGACGTGGCTCTTTGATTGAGAAGTTCTGTTTCTTATTTAACTGATGATCTTCCCGCTGCCCCATCCTCAAAATGGGAAAATGAAGAAGTCTTTCTCTAGCTTGTTTACATTATTTCATGGAAACACACCTTTACCTGTGATGTAATGTTCTCTCTCTGGAGGAGCAGAGGGATCCAAGATGTCTCTTTAGAATTCATTTCCACTTCCCATACAATGCTTTTCTTAGGTTTCTACGAAATCTAGTATCACCGACCAGCCTTTCAGCTTCAGGAGACTTGAGTCTCCATGTTTTAAGGACTATAAATTTTAAAATGTCCCATTTTAACTCCAAGAATATTGACCAAATAAGGGAAGACATTTTATAATTGTGAAATTGTGGTTCTCAAAGATTTCTTTGAAATCATAGTTAAAAGCTGCTGCCAGTTACCACCAAACTGCTTTGGATTTATACAGGGACTAACCAAATCTGGCTACTTTGACATGGGGCATTGTAATTTCCAAGTAGTGTTCTAATTACAGTGATGTATTTTAGATTCACATTTTGTGATTCAAATATGTTATAAAGACATTCATTGCACCGTGTGTGTGGTAAATCTCCGTTTATAAGTAGTTGGAAAAAATTCACTAAATAATGTTTTAATGATAGGCTATCATATAATGTAAAAAAAAATTGGACCTTCAGCAGTACAGAAAGTAAACTATATATGTGCTATCTGGAAACCCCTTCATACCGTGTATAAAACTGCAGTCTAGTGAAATAAATTGTATGCCATGGACGGTTATGCCACCGTCATATGTTAATTTTCCATTTCTTACCTTGTGACCGCACCTGTCAGTTGCCCAACTGAAAATAGGCTTCCTGTCAATGCTACAGGCAACTTCAAGCCTCCTGACCATCTCAAACACACAAAGAAACGTAAAAATAGAATAAAAGAAAGAACAGAGACTTAAAATGGAGTAAAACTGTTGTGGATGGTGGCTCAGGCCTGCATTCTCAGTATTCAGGAGGCTGGAGCAAGAGGAGCATAGATTTGAGATCAACTTGGGCTATATAATGAGACCTTGGCTCAGTTTATATATAAACATAGCTCTCTCTTCTTGAGCAGCTATAGCCGTGTCAGTGTAGGCTGTTAATTCTATCTTATGGAAATTTTGGGGTTTTCTGTCTTCCCAGAAATGGAGACTTCCCCCATGGGATTCTAGTTTTTTCCTTAAAGGTAAGAATCTCTGTTAAAAAGCCAACTTCTTGATTGTGGGGTTTTGGGGGGGACTTAGAGTAGAAATGTGATTATCACCAAGAAAAGATGCACAAAGCTGTGAGATTAAAAACAAAATCAATTCAAACTAGTCAGACATGATAGCAAGCCAGGGATGGTGGTACACGTCTATAATCCCAGCCCTGGGGAGGCTTGGAGGATTGTGAGTTCAAGTCCAGCCGGGTCATGTAAGACCTCATTTTTAAAAAAAAATGGTGGGGGTGGGGTTGGAGAGATGGCTCAGCGGTTGAGAGCACTGACTGCTCTTGCAGAGGACCTGGATTCCATTCCCAGCACCCACATGGTGGCTAACAACCATCTGTAACTCCAGTTCCAGGGGATCTGACGCCCTCTTCTGACCTCCAAAGGCATTGCACAAATAGGGGTGCTCTTACATGCAGGCAATACACTCATACACATAAAAATAAAAAATAGGGGCAGGAGAGATGGCTCAGCAGTTAAGAACACTGACTGTTCTTGCAGAAGACCCAGGTTTAAATCCCAGCACCTACATGGCAGCTACCAACTGTCCATAACTCCAGTTCCAGGGGATCCAACAGCCTCTTCTGTCTTCCATGGGCATTGTACAACATGGGTGCACTTACCTACATGCAGTCAATACACATATACACATAAAATAAAAAATAATAAAATAATTTTTTTAATTAAAAAATAATAGTTTAAAAAACTTTAATAATAGAGTACATTTTGTAATAAGACTAACCTTAGGTTGGAAGTAATTGGATGTTTATAACCTGAGCAAGAACCGTATCTGAGTTTTTAAGTTCCTGTAGATTAGGCCCCCAAGCATTGTGCATGACATTGTTTATACTTTGGGCGGTGGTAAGTGATGCTCACATTCTTTAAAAAGAAAAACACATGGTTGAACACTTAATTGTCATGATCAGCATCACATCCTTTATGCTGCTCAGACACCACTGTAGATTGTACACAGGCCTTCCCGGAAGCCTTTCTAAAATTGCCAAGACTCCTTGGGACCTAACCAGCATTTCTCAAATATGGCATCAGGAGCTCCGGGTATTCCAAGTCATTTGACACAGAAAGAAGGAAATTTCCTGGTTGTGACTTACATCACAGGGTTCAGACTCCTACTGGCCCTCATAATATGTGTCATTCTGCTTGTCAGATAGTTTTTAAATATGTAATTTTTAGATAAATTTTAGAAATCTTGGACACTGGCCATTTTTCTTTGCTTGATTTAACTTGAATACTCAGCTAAAGCTCAGTAATATATTTATTGAAAAACTCTCCATTTCCCCCCAACAAGCTTATTTTGCCAACCAGTGACAGTGGCATGTTGCAAGAAGTTCCAGAAGATGACTAGGCTCTCCCATAACAATGGATTGCTACCCACTGTCCCTGTACCACACCTGGCTCTCAGTCTGTAGATAGCAACTCTCAGAGTGCCACTTCCTGCGGCCTCCTATGAGCATCAACCCCAAAGCATATTTGAAAGTATAGACGTGGGAGAATCATGTCCTTGTGTGTATGACAGAGACAAAGTTTTGCCTGTATGCATATATATGTACCACGTTCATGTCCAGAGCCCATGGAGGCAGGATAGGGGCATCAGATCCCGTGGAACTGGAATTACAGGCCATTGTTAGTCACCATGTGGGTACTGGGACTCAAACCCAGGTCCTCTGGAAGAGCAGCTAGTGCTCTTAACTGCTGAACTATCTCTCCAGGCCCCAAATCATCATATTATTAAACAGCCCAGCCTGGGCTCTCTGTGCCCTTTCTGGACTGTTTGAACAGAGGTGTGATGATTTTTCACAGGCTAGGATACAATGCCACAGATTTGTTTTTTTCTAATTCTTCAATTTAAAAGTATCTTAAGTTGAATGATAAAGCTGAATAAGAAGTCTATTTAGGGGCTGGAGAGATGGCTTAGCGGTTAAGAACACTGACTGTTCTTGCAGAAGACCCAGGTTCAAATCTCAGCACCCACATAGCAGCTAACAACTGTCCGTAACTCCAGTCCCAGGGGATCCAACGGCTTCTTCTGTCCTCCACGGGCATTGCACAACATGGATACACTTACCTACATGCAGGCAATACATGCATACACATAAAAGAAAAATAATAAATTTTTAAAGTATTTAGTAACTAAAGAGAGAATATGCTTGTCTATGCACATGTTGAGGTATTCAGAATTTTTTTTTATTCCAACCTCTACCAATTGGAAATTGCTCATTAAGGTCTGTTCCTTCTCTGATCCTAAGGAGATTCAGTGCTCTTTTATTGATGAGTGCTCCCTCACCCTAAAGAGACAATTTTAATTTCATTTAAATTCTTCCTAAGAAGAGAGACTAAGGGATAAGATTTTGTTGGATAGGGTCACACTTTGGAAGACAGACTAAGGGATAAGATTTTGTTGGATAGGGTCACACTTTGGAAGACATACAAACCTTTGTGATAGCTGATTTCTTTTCCTTCCCCCCAAATCCATTTTGATCCCTGTGGGCAGTGTCCTCCCCCACTGAGAATGTGAGCCCTAAATAAAGCTATTTCGCTGTTCTGACCCCAGTGCCTTTCTCAGTACTGTTACCCTACCAGATCTTTGAGCTGTACATGCTTTCTTCTTGTAGCTTGGCTGACAGAGCTCTGAATGGAAAGCTAATCCCAGTGTCTCTGATCCCAGGCTTAAAACTGTCACCAAGTCCGAAGTCTTTGATTAAACCATACCACTCTTGCGGTTTGCTTCCTTCCTTTGTGTAACTGGTTTGCAAGCCTCTGTAGCCCCCCCGCACCCCCGCGCAACACACACTGAATCAGTGGCCTCTAAACTGCTTCCTTGATTCTCCTCCAATAATTGAGCCAGTATTCAAGTGCTCCCACTTGCACATCAGGAGTGGACAGGTGTGCAGCAGAGAACCACAGACATGTCCTAATGGCTCTCAGCTACACGTCTGTGGCTCTCTGCTGTACATGTGCCCACTCTTGATGTGCAGTGGGAGCATCTGAGCATCATCACTGTCTCATCTCACACACACATGCACTGTGCTGAGTCAGGGGCTTAACTGAATGCCAAGTAGGAAACATGGTATAGGATTAAAACTGCCAAGAGTTCAATCCACTGGGATTTTAAATCATTGTAGAACTGATTACATTGATTTCCTTAAAGGTCAGTTAATTCTAAACAAGCTGAGTACTCAGTATGTAAACAGAAGGTATAATAGTTCTAAATGTTCTCAGAACTTATTATTATCTTGGTTACAAGGTTATGTAAAATTTCAAAGACTTCAGAAGAAATCACTTCCAGAAATCATCCCCACAGGTGAGCTAGCATTTCAGGCAGTGGTTGGAGAGCAGGCAATGTCCTGAATGAGGAAAGGCTATTTAAAGCTTTACTGCTCAGCCAAGGGAAGTAGGACATGATGAGAAGGAAGAGTTTGGAAAATGAGGTCCTGAGGGCCATGGCAAGAAAGACTGCTTCAGACGTGGCGCCAGTAGGATATTTAAGAAGGGAGGGAAGGGGGAGGTTTTTTAGTCTAGGTTTTTATTTACTTTTTTTTTTTTTTACTTTAGTCTGTGTACATATGTGAGTGTATGTTAGGTGTATGTATGTGTGATTATTCTGCATGTTCATGTGTGTGGTAGGTATGGGTATCCATGTGTATGGAGGCCATAGAAGGATGTCCATTGGGGAATCCTGCTCTATTACTCTCCACTGAATTCCCTTGAAACAGGGTCTCTCACTGAACCTGGAGCTAGGTTTGCAGCCAGCAAGCCCCTGCGATCCTCCTGTCTCCGCCCCTGACAGTTCTGGGGTTATAGGCATGTGTAGCCACTCCCAGCTTTTCACATGAGAACTAGGATCTGAACTCAGGTCTTCACACTTGCATAGCAAGTGCTCTTACCCAATGAGTCATATCCCCAGTCCTAGTATGTATTTTTAATATTTTATTTTTTTATGTATATGAGCGTGTTGCCTGCAGTGCCCATGGCAGCCAGAAGAGGGCACTATAGAGTAGCAAGACTGAAATGTGTGCAGGAAATCACTGCAGAGGTAGAAATGAATGCAGGATGGTATCAGCAAAGACGGGGGAAAGTGGGCAGGGAGGGGTGGCACACTCAGGCTGAGGCAGGCGAATCACAAGTTTGAAGACCACCTGGGGTAGGGGTGGGGGGCAGAATATGTCTTGGAAGCAGAATCCCAGGTTTTGGTTACAGAGTGGTAAACAGAGTTCCTGGCTTGAACAGCTCCACGGTGGTGGTATGCCTCCTGTGCTAGGGATATAAGAACAAAAAAAGTTTAGAAAGAAGGGTAAGGAATAAGAAATGAGTGAAACGAGTCAATATTTGACAGTGTAATGTAAGGTGGCTAGAGCTGGCCTGCGCCCTGTGTGCCTCTGCTCAATAACAGTAACTACGACCAAAATGAATGAAACACTGGAAACACAGAGACAAGACTGGGTGCATTCAGGGTGGTACGCCATGGACACTTCCTGTGTGGTGGGCAATGTGGTAAGGTCTTTGTATGCACTAATTCATTTAATACCCTCCAGCTCTGCTCCGTCA